AAGTACTATACCTGGTAGCTGCACTATAGCTACCCTGGGTCTCTATAGGACCGCATAGTGGTCCCAAAATGGAAGCCGCCGTAAGCCACCACGAGTCAACCACAACGCCTGGTCTCAGGCCACCTTGAATTTAGCTTGAAAAACTGTTTCTTTGAACAAAAGGGTTACCTATGTGTCGACAGAACAAGACATGAAGCAGATTTGACACGCGGCCGCAAGCGGCTGCGCGAGCTCATTTGATTGCTTCGACGCACACTTGTCGAGAAAGGGAAGCGCTGGCTTTCGTTTTGCAGCTTCTCAGGTAAGTTCTGTCGTTTTCAGATATGTGCGGCTCATGTTCCCACAGGTTCCACTCGTTGGTTCATGCCTTTGGCAAACATCTGGGTCCACCTGGAACCCCCGTATTCTAGTCTCCGCCGTATTAGCTAGTAGCCGCTGCAGGTGATCATCATGCTCTTCTGCGCCATCATGGGGGTGTGCACCATCACCATGCCAATGGCCTCGTGGCCAGCCCAGGCTATTTGTGGGCTGGGGCCCTCAGGGGTCCTCAGCTTGCTTCGATCCTTTGGCCATTCCTCCGCGGTGCGGAACATATATTAGATCAAAACATGTCTACTCTCCCCTCGGTCCGAATGGCCGGTCGCCGGTCGCATGATATCGATCTTTACATGACGTCGCAGGTGTCGAATGGCCCTTGTATTCATCCATCAAAAACCGCCTCAAAGGCACACGTCAATTTGGCACAGTTCGGAGGGTCTAGGCCCAAGCAGGTGTATGGGACTCTAGGGGGCTTCCTTCGTCTCTTACTCTCTGGGCTTCCGCAACCAGGGGAGCCCCCACAAATTCGACGAGCGAAGAACGTGTCGTGTGCGAGCTGGTCGAGTCGTGCGTCACACGACTTCGGGTCTCCCCGCTTCTTCGTCCGTCTCGACTTCGGCCGGTGGGAGAGCCGTCCGGACCCTAAGAGCTCAGAGCCACGTGTTGATTCCGCGTGGCTCTTCCGATCTGGGAGTCCTCAGACGAACGCATCTACCAGGCCGATCTGAGGAGTCATGTCATCAGGACGAACGCAGGACTAGGCCGATCATCGGCAGCTGAAGAAACTTGGAGTAGAACACATTCATATATACCATCATATACCCCGGTGACTCCGGTGACCCGACCAGATCGTCATGGCGAACATGTCTAAACACCGAAAGCAAAACACCGCCGAGCAACACCCATAGAGGTGAAGCCGAAAACGCCGAGGGGTGCCATGGCACTGTTCATCTCCCTCTTCACCATCTTCATCTCCCGTTATTTGCTCATGTGCGCCGTGACGCTGCGCCAGTCAGCCGGCTCGCCGTGACTTCCCCGATTCTCACCATGTTTTGGTTTAGGAAGACTGGGGCCCACTGGGACGATGGAGAGGTAAGTTCGAAGGCATAGGGGTTCAATCATTTCAAATCTTCAATGTGCATTTGAGTTCTATGTTGCAGGCAGGTGCAGGCCAAGACACACCTGGCATGGTACAGCCAGGGTGTCTTCCTGAAAAAACCCTGTTGCAGGCTCAAAGGTTGAAGTGGTTCAAGAGGAGTTTCATGTTGCGCCAAGGTTCAGCCCTTTCAAGCCACAACCCAGAGCTTCAACTGGCGTTTGTGTGTATGTTTTGAATGGATTGAAGTTGGCAGCCGAATATACAGGCCAAAGCTTAAGTCGTTTCCTTTTTCATCTTTTGCAGACCCCTACACCTTTCTTTTGCCTTTTGCAGACCCCTACAGGAAAACCTGTACTCAGGAAGTCGTGCCTTCATCATTTGCTGGGATACTCTTTGGGAGGCGGTGCCATCGTGAAAGGATGCCCGAACATACTTCTTGTTGGGGTTGGCTCAACATGTTGCACATCATTGTTCCATGCTGAAGTGCAAGATTTTGAAGCATTTACCATGTCTTTTGCGTCCCTTACTGGCGCGGTTCCATGGTGAGAAGCTCCAAAGCCATGACTTTGGTATGACTTCTAGGAGCAGCGGTGCCATGCGGAAGAAGGGTTGGGGTATGACTTAGGCATGACTTAGGCTTTCCCCTGTACTTGACCACCCACGGTGGTGTATTGCATTGATACTGAAAAGAGGCGCATGACGTCCAAGCTATCAAAAACCAACAAAAAGACAGCACGGACGTGTTCACAAGAAACCTGAGTTTCAACGCGAGTGTCTGCCCAGCACCCAGTCGACGAGCTTTCAGTAAATCCATTTGCTCCAACAAGATTCCTTTGAGCCATCGCCCGGCGCTCATTGAAACCCTCACTGCTCACTTGCCCGACTCACCCGACTCTCGCGCCGTCTATTCCAGCCACCCGCAGGTATTCCCCACCCAATCGCTACGGCGCCGTGCAGGGTATGTATACCCTAGCAGCTCGGCAGCCGAAGTTGTGGTTCTGAAGTGGGTTGCAGCGTGAGTTGAACTAAGCACCCCAAGCCATGTACGCACCTGCAGGATTGACTAATAAAGAGGTTGGAAGCGTTGTATAATGATCATGGCAAGCTGCATCATTTTTGGAAGTTACAGTCACACGGTCCCTGACAGTCCACATTATATGATTAACTATGCCAACGATGGTGGGATACGGTTAAGTACAAATCATGCTGTGTTGTGTTCCAGAGGTCCAACAAGGCCAGAATCTTTGTATCAAGAGGGGTGGGTCAAACTAGCGACCTTGACGGGAGTTGCTATCCTCCCATTCTGATCACCCTGCTATGGGGTTCACATTTGTGCCACAGTCGGCCAAATCTCAAAGAAGTTGGGGTGAGGGTCCTGGTGAACCATCATCATCCAATTGCTACAATGCGATCAGAGCTACCCACAGACAACCGCAAGTTGCGCAAAAACACATGGCCAGCAGTTTCCAGGGTTCGCATCATGTTGCTGGACCAGTCGCGGTGCATCACCTGTGAAATACGTTTCAGCACACCCTCACCATCTTGTTCCAACCTAATGAGTTGCTAAGGAGGCCAGTGACTAATAGAGGTGTTCATTGTGTTTCAAGAGTCTACATGTAGCTCCACATCAGTGGAGCTGCGGGGTGCCCATGTGGTCGCCAGCTGGCTGACCTGCTTCTCCGCACTGGTCGGCCACTGCAAGGGCGTGATTTGCATCGCAACACCCTGGTCCATGGGCGGATTGGCAGCGCCTTGGCTCGATGTGTTTATGGCAAGACTGGCGCGGACACAGCATAGTCCAGACTCCAAGAGTTCATGAATGCGAAATTCCACATGCTTGATGTTGTGCCAGGTGGCTTTTGAACAAGAAGTCATCAAGCCCCGTGAAAACGAAGATGCGTTTCCGACGGCTCAAGTGGTGACAGCGACAGCGATAGCATCGCCAAGTGTGCCCATTTGGTGTCCAACATTCCAATTAATCCCTAGGGCTCCAACCATCTTCTCAGGAGGTGGTTAGACCCCCCAAACCCACCAACCACCGAACCTCAGGAGGTGGGCCAGGAGCCCTAGGGAATGAATGATTACAATCCCGTTCTGGACGGTCTCATGGACCCCGAAGATTCAGGCGTCAGGCTGCCGCAGGGAATGGTATGACATGGCCATGGGGCCATGGACATTCTTCCGGAAAAGTTGGGATCACGATGCGAGAGAATCCTAGGTTTGTTTGGCGCCGGGCACGGGTGGACAGTGTGCGCATGTTTGCGCCATGGAGCTTTGTTTAAATTAGAAACGGCAAAAACCAAGGTTTGGACTTCAGGGTTCTTACTAGCCGTGTTCACTCCAGCAAAGTACTGCACTGATATAAGGAACCTCCTACAGGTCACTACCTACGACTTTTAAGTCTCCAAAAGCCTACCTGCTGGAGGCTTTTGGTTTTCAGGAAGGTCTTTGTTTCGCACGGCATTTGCATGATTCTGCATGATCCATGTTGTTGACACCGCTTGCCACGGTCTAATGCGTGGGGTTGGCAATTCCAGGCAACTCAACAAACCTTATGCGGCTCCTCTAACAGCAAGTCGATCAAGAGCTGTGGGCGATACCATTCTGCACCATTTTGTTCAAAGGATTCCTTGCAAGTCCAGTCTGACCCAAAAAACCTGGTTCTTGACCTCCTTGAGCAATGGAATTTGCATGACCAACTCCAGTAGAATGAGGCCTTTGACTTGTAGGGAGCCTTTCAAATCGGTCGCATCGAGGCTACGGCCGTGTTGCCTCCAGGCGAGGTCAGAGAGTTAGGTGCCATGGACAAGACCCCGCGATGCGTGGGTGGGTATAGGGCACCAGTACCCTCAAGAACCCCAATTTGGAATTTTTGCTGCAATTGTTATCACTTTGTGTGAGACTCATTAATATCACTCTATACACAAGAATTTGCACGTTGTGGCCGAAGCGTGCTATAAGGCTCTAGAGTCAATGAGGAGGTTGTGGATTTGCTCCCAGCTCAAGATCAAGAAACACAGTATATTCTATAAGTTAAGCATGGTTACCATGTGGCCAGGTCACACTCCACTCAACTTCTTTTTGACACGGAAATCGGAGATCTTACATGCTCCAAATTGACGCTCCATTCTTGCAAGAAACGGGTGGAAGACTAGACACTGATCGCCAGATTTGATCTGATTAACGAATCAGTTGCCCTAGGGCCCTCCAAACCCATCTTAGATTTTTCTCATGAGGTATTTAGGCCTAGGGTTAGTGTTAGCAATTCTGAATCTTTTCGGATGGACACCTGTTGCATTTATTCATGATATGTATATATTATATAAATATAATACTCAATATTTGTACGTGTTTGTGTCTCATTCAATAATTCAATATCGCGCCCTCTTTGCACGTTTCTCGCATAGGCCTCAATGCCTACCTCATTCCGATGATGACCTTTGGCGTGCCACTGGGATCAACACATCCGAACGTTCGTTGCGGGGGGTCCCTCATTGCACGAACGACACGGTTTCCCGGCCATTGGGCTGCAGTTCCCTTGGACGATCTTGGAGGCTTGAATGGTCTTGGAGGTTTGCTCAAAGTTTTGCAACTTTGTTGACATGGTGATGGACATGCAGGGTATGACACCCTGTTTGCAGAGCAACCCCCATCAATACCGTGGATATACATGGCCTCATTTAGTTTGGGCAGGGATTGGACAGTGCGTCCTTTACCATGAGTGACCTGTCAGAGGCCAATGTTGTGTTTTGGCTGGTGGAATGGTTGGCGGGCATGGAAACCATGACCTACCACCGAAACTGGAGACTCCAGGCAATAACGCATGGCCCCTTGGAAAAGTACCCGCTATCAACCATCAACCTGAAAATTCAAAGCTGAATTGAAACATCAGTTTCAGAATTGCCCCATTCCCCCCTCGCAAAAAGAGAACCGCGGAGAAACACCCCTAAATCTCAAAGATGCTTTGCCCATCTCCCGCAGTCGCCTCGCCGTGTTTCTTTCTCCGTAAGAACCTGACCCTTCGCAGGAGAGTGCCGTGCCTCAGAAAACGCTCCGAAACCGTCCGATGCGAAGACCCAGGTCGGGTGTGGTGGGCCTGCTGCTGTACGTGTCTCGGTCCGCAAAAACGAACGGAACGGAACCGGAGACGACGTCCGGAGCGGACCTGGCGCCGGTTTTGGGTCTCGGAGACGACTCGGAGACCGGGCCGGGCCGTTTGGATGGAAGAAAACGGGCACGTTCCAAGCCGTTTGAAGAGGTGTAATAGCAGGTTCCATCGGTTTTGCTTGGTGCCTTAGACCTAGATCTTCCAACTGTGCAGAATTTGCAGCTGTTTCAACGCATGTCATGTCGATCTATAGCCCAGCCAAAGGGTGAACATCTTGCACAGTCGAAAGATCTATCAGTTTTTGACCAAATCGGCTGACATCCGAGTTGCAGCTGCCTGTTGCCGATGCACAATGCATGTCACATGTCCCACAAGGTGAAACTGCTCAAGAGGGATAGAGGGAGACACTGACCCGAAGAAAGTCTGTGTGAAGTTCATGTGAAGAACGGGGCTACCAATAGAGGTTGAAGAACCGTATAGGCTATCCTATAGGTACCCTGGTAGGGTCCTAGTTCAGGTCAATTATATAACCTTTGTTGGTACTTTTGGTCGTTTTCGGGTAACGGGGCTGGGCACAAACCAAGGTGAACTTGCAGTATTTTTACTCGACGGCGCAGACATGCTGAGAGACTTCCTAGGAATGATCCTTCCTCTCCTTTCTTTTCAGGTGTTCGACATGCTTTTCATAGTTGCGCTTGAGGGAATCTACTGCATATCAATATCACTTAACCTCTTTCAATCGGAATTGCTCCGAAAAGTGTATCCTTTTCAGAGGTGACCTTTTGAGGTGACCTTTTGAGATCTCGAGGTCACCTGCTTCCTAAAGAGGTCACATTGAAGCTGGTTCATCTCGCGTGCGATGGCGCGTGCTGGGTAGATCGTGTGGCTGCGACGGTCGTGCGTCCTGGCGCTACAGGGGGCGTACTTCCGCGCCAATCCGCCGCCAGCAGTGCCCCCGTTGCTCCCCGAAGACGAGGCCGAAGAAGACCCACGAGTGGATTTGGGGTCAGCATGGGCAGCATGGGGTAGCAGGAAGATGCAGGAAGCACATGAGACATGAAGAACCCAACATTTGAGGGTTTGAGCAAACATGTCAAGCAAAAGATGTTGACACTTACAGCATCGAAAATTCCAGTCGTTTCTAAGGATGGAACAGGCCCCTAAAACCACGACTTAGCCTAGTGGTTGGGATTCCAAGCATCCATGACAGAAAGGGTATTGCGGGGTACAGGCTACGTGGTATTTCCTGCAAGGCAATTGTTCCACTGCCCCAAGCCGCTCATGTTCTTCATGCTCCCGTTGAAGGTGAGAGACAGCCGCCCGATGTGGGAATTCGATTCACGAATCCATCAAAGCACAGTTGTTGTTGGTCCTTTTCTGGGCTGTGCTGCGTTGCACCCCAACTCTGAACGCAAGGCGGAGCTGGCCAAAAGCTTCGGCTGCGGAACCTTAGAGCAGGCGGACACCCGCCGGTACGTCCAGAGCTGTTGAACCCCGTACGAGGTTTTGGCAACGAGCGAAGTGGCTCCGAAACCTGTTGGGACGGCCGGAAACTGCGACACCCTACTACTATAGTAACAAGACTCTACTAGTAACAAAGGGCATCGCTACGAACGGAGCAAGAAGCTACTAGTCACAAAGGAAGAATGAACATCACCGGACCAAGAGGGTTGATCACCGACCTTCTGACTTCTGACTTGGCCTCCTTCGCCCGTTGGTCACACAGAGGTGACCTGGCAGGTCCCAGTGTAACTTGGCCATAAGGGTTTCTTTGTTGAGGCCATGATCCCCACTGATTAGAAAAGGAAGATCGAATATGAGCCCAAAGAAGAAGGTCAATCTATCTCTGAACTTCCACTGACTCATTTTGCCTCACCTGGATGTCGTAATCCACCACTAGCATAGGGGTAGAATGAGTCAATGTGGACTCTCAGGGTAGGGCATATGTCGCTAGTTATGTCGCTATATGTCCCATGCGGTTCGTCGTCGTCCGCGGTTCGTCGTCGGCACGAGGTCATGGAGATCACCAGCCTCAATCGCACCGACTTGCTGAAGAAGATGTCCAGCACCGACCCTCAGGCGAACCCGCGAAGTGGTGCATGTTGTGAGCGTAGGTGCATGTTGGAGCGGAGATGGCAGGACGAGATCTCGAGATCAGCATCATTTTAGGTTTCCGTCCGCCTTTTTTATTGTTCTTGGCATGTTCCAGAGCTTCATGGTGCTCGACCTTGTTGTTTGTTTTTTTTGTGCTGGGGCATCATGAGTCCAACATCGTCCAGCACACACAAGGCGATTCAGGAAAAATAGATCAACATAGCCGTAGCAATATAATGGGTGGTGATGGGTGGTGGTTTCAGATCTTTTTCATGTTCAACCTTTTCTTCGGATAGTATTCTTGTCAAATGAGTTGAAACCACCGACCATTTTTTCTGATGTGAGGGCATTTGTCTGAAGGGATGCTATCAGAGCTAATTCCCACATAGATTTGATTTAACATTGAAAATCATAGCTTTACTGGTTACTGTATGTTGAATAGCTTACTGGTTACCAACATATGAACATAGCATTGAACATACTATAGCATTGAACATACTATAGCATTGAAATACTATGTTGAAATACTTTACTGTTCACTGTAAATGTATTTGATAAGTTTACATCGTACACATGCAAATTGATCGATGTTTTACAGTGAACATGCTTTGATAAACATGCTTTACAGTGAACACAGTTACCAGTCAATTGGCATGTTCACTGGACCCTGTGTGTCACCACGGTCCGGTCCGCGAATGCCATCCAACGAGCGGTTGGTACAAATGGGGTGTCAGTGCACCTGTTTCAAAGAGTGATCCTGGCAAAGCGTCGCTGGTGCTATCAAGCACATCAGTGTCTTTCAAGCGATTGAACCTCTAGAAGAGCATTTGGAATCACTGACATCTCAATCTGTGGAAGAGTCCTGTTTTTGTGTGCAGGTGATTCAAAGCTTGATGAAGAGCATTGACACTGAAAAGATGATGGACCCATAGCTGCAATGGCCATCTCGCATAGCATTCACAGTGGCCGCCGTGACTTGACGTAGCTGCAGTGCACGCGATTGGACACCGAAAACGGAGGGACCGAAAACCAATGACACTCTCGAAAACCAACATGGACTCTGAACACCACTGGTTGGTAGAGGAAGACAATCTTCCGGCCATTGTCGGGGTCTATGTGAGTTTTCGGGAGTGTCTATGGAGAGGCTTCAGTTGGATTGTACGTATTTCAGAGGTGTTTGTGTCCGTCGCTTTTGGTCTGCTTGAGCTAGCACAAAGGACCCAGAGGACGTGTGCAGGGAAATGGGCGTCCAACGAGATGCGCCATGAAATCGCATTCCATATGGGGGATGTGCTTCACCACGGATTTCAATCTTTGAGGTGTTCGATTTGCTCACAATGCCTTCAACATCCCAAACAGGGTATCATGCTAGCAGCCGAGCAGCTAGCAATATTCATCATGTTTGATCATGGTTTGTCCACCTGCCGGACTCTTCTCACGACGTGGAGACTTGGACACTGATTCTGAATGACCTTGTTCTGCCTCCAATGGTTCTGGGCTCTGGGGGTTCCGCTGTCCATGTTTGGGCACTCCCGTTTTGCCCTCCATTGGTCGAGCGTGTTGTGGAGCGCTCGCGCTCGCGTCCAAGAAAGCGCCTCAGGAAGTGATGCCGGGGACCTCAGGAAAACGGATCATCTGGGAAAACGGCGCGAGTGAACGTCCTGATGAATCTCCTGGTTCCGCCCTTGTGACCCCATACAATCTCCCAGGGTGTAGCAGGTCGGTCCCTGCAGCCTTGCAGGTCGATGGGACTCCATTCACGAACGTTGACGAAGCTGGAGTTCTTGGTTTTTCGGAACACGATGTGAGCCGATGTGTTTGGCTGAGCCGATGTGATCTGCATCCGTCACTCGTTGACGATGGTGAGGTGTGATAGGGTGGCTCCGGACCACCCCAAAAGCACCACCGATTCCTTGGAATGGCTTCCCTTTGATCCACGTTGGATGGGGTTAGTTCTTGAGAAGAACACCCTCCACACTTGCCACACGAGTGGGCGGCTCGGACGCATGTGGCCACAGATCATCTGGCGAACCGCTGGATGCGGTCCAAGGGGAACAGATTGCTGTGAGGATCGAGCGACATCATGTGGCCACGACTCTGTGGAGTGGCCACGACTCAGATGTGGACAAAGAGACGCGGACAGTTAAATGGCGCAACTCCACTGGCCTTGCATGTATTTTCTCTTTTCAGATGTTTTACTAGGCCTTGTCAGCGCAGAGTCTCAAGAAGAACAAGAGACATAAACATGTTTCTTCAATCAAAAGAACCTGTTTTTTTCCCGTGTGATGCGATCTGCTTCTTATCTTGGGCTCGTGGTATATGCACAATGCGTCTTCTTTTGGGTAAAGCTCCGAAGCCTTGGACGCTAGTAGTAACAGGTGCATCTACTAGTCTACTAGTAGTAACAAGTGCCTTACTAGTAGAAACAAGACGAATTGAATTGTTACTAATATAGCTTCTTGTTACTACTAGTAAGGCACCTGTTACTAGTATAGTATACACTTGTTCCCAAAGCTCCGAAGCCTTGTTCCGCGATGCTCGAGCCCGCCCCTCTCGGTCCGCCTCGCAGGTCCCGTCGCTCCGTAGATGACATCGCAGCGCCTTGGGACGACCGAGTCGCAAGTCGGGGCGGTTTGGGGTCTCCGCAGCGGAGAGGGCAGGAGGGGCCAGGCCCGTCTTTTGGGTGAAGAGACCGGAGGATGGAGGATGCAGAAGGGATATTCGATGTCTCCAAATGGGAGAGGTGTATAACTGTACGTATATTATGTGATATGTATTGCAGTTTGTTCCTCACAATGTATAGCTGATAAGTTAGGCCGAACGGATGATAGCGCAACAGGATGATGGCGCATGAGCAGGCAAGGTGTCTTTGGCTTCCTAGCCTTTAATTCGGAAACAAAAAACACATGTCAAGATATCTGCTCGCACCCAGATTTTGAGCGTGAAAGACTTGTTTAGGCGTTGAAAGTCTTTTTGGGTGTGAAGTTGATTCAGCATTCAAGCAGGGCATTGCCTTGCAATCACAATTGGGAATTGGACAGCAATTTGATGTGATTGTTTGTCCCCAGGATCCCCGAGAAGCAAAATCACAGCCGCCGAGATACTGTAGTGAACCTTGTTTCTTGCACTGTTGTCCTGGAGCTTCGTTTGTGCACCCACAAAACGTCGACCTGCCACAGACTGCCACAGACTGCGTCGACTGACTGTTGGAAGTCTGGGACCGACTTGGGCGACCTGCCAGCACGACCTTAGTGCCGAAACAGCCGAAACAGCCCGAGGATATGATGGAGACAGCTGAGGATGATGAAGATGAGGTGGGCCCAATCTGTCCGTCATGGGCCCAAGGGCCAATCGGGCCTAGGTTGATGATATCTTCCGTTTCAGAAGCATCATTGGCAAGAGAAGTAGCAACAAACACCAGAAGAAAAGATATCGATGACAACGACAATTACTTTCAAGTGAGTTCGTTGATTTGTTTGCTTTTGCAGTATCCGCTACCAGGCTGCCGACGCACCAGAGACTCCAAGTAGCAGGAGCCCCCAGAAATGCGAGGTGCGAGAGGTGCGAGGTTTGGAGGTGATAGGTGACGCATTTCATTACTAGGTGATGGTTTCATCGGATGTATTCATTTTCAACCCGTACTTGGGATGATTGACCCCACTGACAAATATTTTTCAAGTGGGTTGAAAGCACCAACCAGATTAGTTGTTTTTCCTGAGTTAGTTCTTCCTTTGTGAGGTGGGGTTGTGACGGATCACCTCTCAGCGAAGGTGTTCCACTCCAAGAAGTGCGAAACAGTTGAGCTGACTTCAGGGAGCAATGTTCGCTATTAGGAGCAAAGGGCATCGCTACTAGGAGCAAGGACGCTAGTAGGGGATCCTGGCCTAACTACTAGTAGCAAGAAGCTACTATAAACAAGAATTCAATAGAATTAGAATTAAAATAATCCGAATTTAATTAGAAATGAATCAAGAAGCTACTTCAGGGTTCAGTTTGTGCGTATCCTCCGACATAGGGCTTGTACAGGTGCACGGCGTTGTAGCTATCCTGAAGCGTCAAGTGAAATCCTATGTTTTTACCTCCTTGATTTGTGTGTTTTGTTTGACCAACTCCAGTATCTCATGAGGTCAAACTGACCTAGGGTTTGTATAACAATGATACCGTCAACATGGGGAAGACAGCGGTTTACCCAACAGGACCGTCGTTTCCGATGCGTCTTTCGTTTGTCTCCAGTCAGTCGAAAACGAGTAACTTGGAGGGTCAAACGTATTGTTATCCAAGTCTCTTTGAACAAAGTAAGCTAAGGAAACAACAAGACATGAACTAGTCTGGAACAACAAGACGCTCACTATTTGTTGCTTACTGATAGTGTACTAAGCTGCATAGAATTGATAGAGACAGACGTTGATCCCATGCAATCCCCCCCCCTCCCAAAAGCATGGGCCCTCCCGTCGTAAATTATTCCAGGGTGGTGTCACCTCCAGGAATAATTTTTTCAGAATAGTTTTCTTTTTTTTTCGGAATATTAAAAACAACATGTTGGTGTTGGTGTGGGTCGATGGTACCGTGGAATAGTAAAGTAGGAATGTGAAGGTACCCTGGAATAATATTTGGTCAAATGTGAAGGTACCCTGGAATAATACGTGGTCGGTTTTTGGTGGGCAAAAACTAGTAAGGCTTCTGGTGAGGGGTTGGTATCTTTGGGTTGGTTCTAGCAGCACAAATACTAATAAAGCTTGTGGTGCGCAGGCCTTGCCTGTACTACACGTTTGCCATAAAACAGACATTGCCTCCCTCATGTGTCTATTGGTTTCTATGAATCACCCTTAGAGGTTTTCTGGAAACCATGTAGTGGGGTGAGGTTCTTGAGTGCATGGCCATTAAACACACGGGGTAGCCCAGTACGGAAAAGCAGCTGACAAGCAGGAAAAGATAAAAGACCTGAGACGTATGAAAAGTGGAAGCGATGAACTCGTAGCCTTGTAGATGGGCGGGAAAGCTTGGAGCTCACCGGTTGGTATTTTGGGTGAGTCATAGGAGCCTAGGAGCACAAATACTAGTAACTAGGGTTGGAAAGCTTGGTAAGGTTGGATGTTTTGGGTATGTTTCTTCTTTCCAAGCAACAGACAGGGCAGGTGACATTATGCCAGGCCCCCACCAGGACAGAACCACCCCTGGAATAGTTTTATCTTGCGCAGGAAAAAGGGAGCAGAATGCAAATTACTAGTAATTAAGTCTTCTGGTATGGATTGGGAAAGCTTGAGGTTTGGGTTAGGTATAGGGGCAAACAGGGGAGGTGATATTATTCTAGGCCCCTACCAGAACTGAACCACCCCTGGAATAATTTCTGGTGGTTATGGAGATTGTGTACAGGAGGGCAAAAACTAGTAAGGTTTCTGGTGAGGAGTTGGTATCTTTGGGTTAGTTCTAGCAGCGCAAGTACTAGTAAAGCTTGTGGTGTGCAGGCCTTGCCTTTACTACAATGTTTGCCATAAAAAGAAACTGCCTCCCTCATGTGTCTATTGGTCTCTATGAATCACCCTTAGAGGTTTTCTGGAAACCATGTGTTGTGGGGTGAGGTTCTTGGGTGCATGGCCATTAAACACAGGGCCCAGTACGGACAAGCAGCTGACAAGCAGGAAAAGATAAAGAGCTGAGACGTATGAAAAGTGGAAGCGGTGAACTCGTAGCCTTGTAGATGGGTGAGAAAGCTTGGAGCTCACCGGTTGGTATTTTGGGTTAGTCTTAGGAGCCTAGGAGCACAAATACTAGTAACTAGGGTTGGAAAGCTTGGTAAGGTTGGATGTTTTGGGTATGTTTCTTCTTTCCAAGCAACAGACAGGGCAGGTGATATTATGCCAGGCTCCCACCAGGACAGAACCACCCCTGGAATAGTTTTATCTTGCGCAGGAAAAAGGGAGCAGAATGAAAATTACTAGTAATTAAGTCTTCTGGTATGGGTTGGGAAAGCTTGAGGTTTAAGGGCTTTGTCATGGGTTTTGGGTGAGGCATAGTGGCAGGCAGGGTTAGGTATAGAGGCAAACAGGGGAGGTGATATTATTCTAGGCCCCTACCAGAACTGAACCACCCCTGGAATAATTTCTGGTGGTTATGGAGATTGTGTACAGGAGGGCAAAAACTAGTAAGGCTTCTGGTGAGGAGTTGGTATCTTTGGGTTTGTTCTAGCAGCGCAAGTACTAGTAAAGCTTGTGGTGTGCAGGCCTTGCCTTTACTACAATGTTTGCCATAAAAACAAACTGCCTCCCTCAGGATGCCATATAGACTGCATGTTGGAAGTTGCTTTAAATTATTCCTGACAACTCTTCACATATGGCATAGTTTTTGGCAACCATTAGGTCCTACACCCCGGAATAAAAAACAATTATTCTGGGACCCCATCCGCCCCAGGGCCCCAGATGGGAGGCCCCATCCAAAAGCAAAAAAGAGCGCACACACAAATCCAACCTGTTCAAACAAAAGATGTCCTAAGCCCATCACGTCACACGTCTCGGTCCATCTCAGACGCTGCCGCCTCTGCGGCAGCGCCCTCGGCGCCGCCCGCAGCGGACGCAGCGGAAACGCCCATCCGGGCGCGCGGTAAATACCTGGTGAGGCCCAGTGGAGCGACTGGGAAGATGGTCATGTTAGGATCCCTTTTGGAATTGCCCTCCTGGCTGGTTGGATGACTTTCTGAAGACAAACTTGATTTTCCACTTGCATCTTTAGTGGCTCGGAGCATGTTGTTTGGAAGCGCAGGGGGGTGGCGGGTCGGTTGATCTTCCTTTTCATATGAGGAGAGATGTTTAGCAAATGCTTTGAGGAGGGCCTTCGGAACGCGAACGAAATCGATTGGAGAAGGATTCACTCGTTGAACCAAGTGCAGCCTCCGGACTCCTTGCCTTTCAAGACACTCTAGTGCCTGCACGCCAGGGGTCACCCGAAGTGAATGGAAGGTCTAATGTAGACTCTTGATCAATAACTTTAAATAACCCCCTCCATTTGACTTGAAACACCGCTTCATATGGGGGGGGTTATGAATCAAGAGCCTAAGTCTAGGCATGTTGATGTGTGATTCAGCACGAAACTTCGCTGCGAGCCGCTCGGACCGCCAGGGTGGTGGCTGCTGGAGACAAGGAGGCCCTTAAAATGACTCTGTGGAGGATGGGGTGGTCATACTAGAGGGGTGCTCCAGTGGCAGGAATGGCCTAAAAAGGTCTAAAAGTGGCTTGGAGTTTTGGCAGGTCATGTCTTTTTTCAACGGGTCATTGCCTCCAAACATCCTTGGAGGGAGCTACTGAGAAAGCATGTGTCCTAGCCTTCCTGGAACTCCCTGCAATATCCGCTTCCTGGGAATCTGGCGAGAAGAGAGCCCATTGCCCTGCCGCATGTAACACAACAAACATCAACACAATGTGATGTGTGTTCGGTGCTTTCTTGCACACACCATGCTTCACATCATGCTTCACATCAGAGAAGTGGATGTAGGAGATCAATCCTCACATCCTCCACGAAACTCTCCAGACTGGTTCACAGCCTGCAGGAAAGCAGTCCCCCAAGCACTCCCCCACCATTATAGGCTTATGAAAAAAGCCTTTCACATTCAAAGGAAGAAGCCGGGAGACAATGGCTTTGAATTGCTGCGCACTGAGCAGTTGCTAAGTGTGGAAGACCCGTCACAGACCCGTGGCATGCCACAGTGAGGTCTGAGGTTCTTTGGAGAGGAGTCTAGGCTCAGAAGTACTTAGAGAGCACAAGGACCTCATCGGTCTGAGGACTGAGATTCACCATTATATTATACATATATGTTCGATTTGAGTCAATGTAGGGGTCCTGATTAGATTTCCACCTCCCTGCCCCGAAGACATCTTACATGGTATCTACACTCCGCGTTCGTTTTGGGGGGTGGGGTGTGCGGATTTCATTCATCCAGAGCCCATGGATCACTTCACACCTACAGGACACCTGCCCACAGAAGTCTGCCGTGCGTCGATCGCCGCAGCTGTGCTTTCGTACTGCCCCTCTGGGGACCAGCGGGAGGCGGTGAAGCAATATCTGCTTACCGAACCGGTGGACGTCTCTTGGCCAAAAAACATTCCGTGGGCGTCGGCGTTGGAGTTCTTCACTGGAAGTTCAGTCATTCGTTGAATTAACTCTGAGACCAAATTTGAGGATAAGGGCGGGTGTTTAGGTGTTCATTAACCTTTCCTTGTGAGTCCTGGTTTGACAGCAGTACCCGGTGCCTATGTGTGTCGCTGGAGGTGCAATGAGGTGCAAGCCTCCATGAATGAATGGGCAGGAACACATCCCGAGCTAGGACCCCAAACATGGTGCGTGAAGAAATGGCTTGCTGCGGGTGGTCTTCAACACTAGATGACTAGATGGCATCTGGGTTCCTGAACCTTTCTTTTTACCCCGGCTTTCAGGATCGGGGTGTTTCCTGCTGGCCGGATAAAACAGCCGTCCCTGCAATCGGGGTGTGAACAGCTTCGGGGAAGAGACCTGGACCAGTCCTTCACATGGGGAGGAAGCACCTGCAAGCAAAGTACATCAGCATCATCAGCCACCTGCCGTTCTTTGTGCCATTTGGAACCCACACCAGATCCGGTCCGTGCTCCGCTCCAGAGCGCTGTCCTTTCGTCCGTCGTGACCGGACGCCGAGCAATAGGACATGTGGCAAACCACCTTGGACATGGAGGAGCGCTGCATGTGGTGCCCATCTCCACGTGGTGAATTTGGAAGAGATCTTCTGAAACATCACATCATATCACATCATTCATCTATGACATTATGAGGTAGCCGGGCAGTTCCTATAGGGATCTTCAAACCTGCCACGTGGACCTGTTCGTCATGACTTGGGCCACTCCAGAATACTTGTATGTAGTTGATTTCAATGGGGAGACCCCTGGCGGGCCGGGTTTTGGTTTGCATTCCTTCTTCCACAGGTTCAAACTGGGAGGTCTCCCTGTTCTAGTGCACAGTCCCGAGCGTTCTCGTCATGGCTTTGCAGGCAACATCGGTCGGAGGCACAAGCCGGTCGGATTCCTCACAGGAGTGGCAAACTCCAGCTGAGCAGAAGCAAATGGATAAGGACGACCCCAGAGACCCTAGGGTCCAGTTGGGTGGGGATCCGGTGTCAGGTGGAGATCCTTTTGGTTGTTCTCTTTAAAGGATGCACGCTCCCCATAGTGTCGGGTGCACACTCTTGGATGGAGATCCAAATGAGGGAAGAGTTACTTCATGTTTTACAGCTTCGGCTTGAGCCGGACACCGCCGGTGCCACGGTGCGGCCTGGTGCGGCCTTGTCCGACAGCTCGGAATCGCCAGTTCGGGCCACTTGGGTCAGTGAGAGATCCATCAACGGAATGGAGAATTCCGATCGGTTCCCAGACTTTTGGAGCTGGTTTGCTGACCTGGTATGTGCTGGTGAAGCACTCATCCCATCTCACCGCTGGGCCGTGCTGGGCCCTGCCGCTGCTTGATGAAGTTGCCTCATGTTGAAAGTCCCATTTCAGCGGGTGGAACGCAATGCCAGGGAGAGAATTTCCTGTGGTGCAACCCAACCTTCGGCTTGAGAGTCTAGAATATCACTCGAGAATCTTAAGACCTCAAATCATGACTCCTCATAATCAATTCACTCATATCTTCAAGCCTAGCAGTCTTCAGCTTTAGCACGACTCTTGCCATATCATGACTCATTTCTGTGTTTTTGGTCGCCGCGTGACCAGGACTTTAACAAGCTGATCCCGGGGAAGGACAGGGTGTAGACCGCGATGGGCGCTTTGCCAGCGTGGCTTCCACCTTGGCATGCCAGATTTTGGTCGTTTTGGCTTCTATGTGTATATCATAGCAAGCCAATGGCAAGCTTCTTAAGATGGACTCTACTCATCATTATATTATTATGTGTTTTTTGATTACTTGAGAATAATGTGAGGTGCAAAGAGAAATCCGAGTGACATTGGACCTCGCCACATGAAGCAAGACCACTTTTTTCAAACTTTGTCAGCCCAGCGCGGGCTGGAGCACTTTGCGACGAATTGGGCGCGTGGGACTCGATTTGGATCCAGGGGGGCCCAACACTACGGGTCCGTTCGCATGGTGCCTCGAACAGGCTGGGGTGGTTCTCCAGAGATGTTGAACAATGTGTCCTTTCAGACTTTTGAGTTCGACATGAAATGAGTGATGTTCTTTGGTGCTTTAAATGGTGCGCACCCCCCCCCCAAAAAAAAGGTGTGTTTCGAGCACAAAATCCACAATACTTGGAGTGTGGCATGCAAGATCGCACACACAAACAACATCCCAAAAGATACATCAACATCCAAACATGACTGATTGGGCCGAATGGGCTTTGGCATGCTCCCGGCCGCATGTCATGCCTGTCTCATTTCAGCCGTATTCCTAGGTATACGGCTGAAACTCTGATCAAGAAAAATCCCACCCCACCAATCCCAAACACTCCATGTATGCCATAGATGCCTACATTGGGGTGGTTTCAGGGGTCAATGTAGGCAATGTAAGCAATGTATATGGCATACATGGGAGTGTTTGGGAATAGCTTTCTTCTCCCCCCAAGAACCGCGTGGAATCCGTCTCCCAGAGCCATGAAGACTCCACTGACCGTCTTTCAGGAGTTCGCCTCGATCCTTCGGCAGCGGCCAGAGCTGAAGAAGTTCGTCTCCCAGGCGGCTCAGAGCGCGCGGTCCGCGTCGTGGCGCGGAGCGTCGTTGTCGCCGCGACGTTGGAAGACAAGACAAGCCCAGCAGGGCGCGGTTTGGAGGTTTGGTGCGCGCGGCTTGGAGCAGGGCGCCATGGGACAGACTTTTCTCTTTGTTTTCCTCCTCCGCGCCGGAGACAGGGTGGTCGCGCCAGGGCACATGTCTCATGATGATGTCACGACATGGAGATGATGAACAATGAACCATTAACCATCCTGGAAGCAGCAAGGCCTCCACGCGTTGCCACACCGGCACGGCGTTCAGGTGATGAAACGCGAGATGAACCGGAAGATTGTGCACCCTGGTTTGATCTATTAGACTCTATTAGAACGCGCGCATGCGTGGAAGCAAGGTATGTCAAGAGAAGGGAATGGGATCTCAAAGTGCCAGATTTGTCAGTTCAGGCTTGTCGTCAACCCATGCGCCTGACTGAGGGCCTTGACTGGCAGGAAGAAGAAGTGAGGCGCCACGAGGAACGAACCAACGCACCGCGACCCAGACATGTGCGTGACCGCGTGGCAAAGCCACGCGAACGTGTTTGTCGCGAGCGTTGTTCTTGTAGATGCTGGCCACAAGAATTACATCCACCCTCAGACCCTTTTTGGGAGTTCTTAGTTCATACTGATTCAACAACACAATACAACACAATCTCATCTTGGAAGCGTAATTACATACACTTCCTCGAGGACACCCCTCAGCAAAAGAGCTTAGTCTAAACATTCCTTCTTCTTCCCATCGGCCACCCGTGATTTACGGGGACCAATTTAGTTCACTGCTTGTTATGGGGAGTTTCTTACGGCCTCTGAAGGCCGTTCCTTCATTTTGAACTCGAAGCATGGCACATGCAAGTGACGTGACGTGGGAGGGTTGGATGTAATCTTCGCCTGGGGTGTGCTCTTCACCCGGATTTTGGAGGCAGAACGGTGCCCGGTGCCAACCGAGCAGGATGTATTGTTGTGCCTTTTTTTTGGTTTTCCTTGTGCAGTCCTCGTTGAGCCGGGAAGGACCTTGAAGTAAACTAGAAGCAACATTTGATGAAGATTGTTCGCAGAACATCTCTCAAAAGCATGACAAGATGTGTTTCTGGCCAGCGAGGATTCCTCTTTACGCTTAGCTGCTGAATCAGCAGAACTTCTAATTTTTGGACTTAGGACCGAGGATTCCAGAGGAAGCCTCCCCAGCTGATCCACGAGGTAGTTCGCGTTCGCTTGCAGTGGGACATGCACGAGTTCTGACACAGGTGAAATGATGAAAATATCCAGGTGACCTGTTCAATTGACCTGGAGGAAGCAGGAAAGATGAGGAAAGCCGAATCTGAGGGGAGCATAGGGGCCGTGAGGTTCTTGTACCCATCCGAAAGTGAAGACCGGGAGGTTTTTTGACTGCAGAGTTGGACGGGCTTCGAAGCATCAAGTCGACCGACGGAGCATAGAATCTGTTGGACGTCACATTGCAAGTGAGGGCCACACGTCCGACACAGTCGCGTGCGAAGCCAACCAAAAAGCAAAGGAGACAGCGGTAGGTGGAGAGGCCTTTTTTGTCCTAGCCTTCCAAGACCATTAACCAACATGACTACCAACATGGTTGACATGGTGTTGTAGTCTAAAGTTTAAAGTCCTTAGTAAAACAATGGTAGCTCGGTAAGAATGACAACAAAAACGATGGTGTTTGGAATCCCTATAGGGCTTGTCATCTCACCTCTTCATTCTGAGGTGAAGTGTTTGGTGAAGAAACATCGTTACTGGTCGATCTGAGTAGATTGCACCCCGTTGGTTTTCTCAGTCCAATGGCCATGAGTTGAAAGGGTGGTGAGATGGGCGATTCACCATGATTCCCTGACACGTGCGGTGTCAGCATCAGACTAGGGTCTATTTGGAGCTTGGTGCATTGACGGTGACACCCTGAGAGTTGTTTTACACGTGCTGGGTGGGAGGATGTGGGAAGATCTTGGAGCTTAAACATCGGGAACACCGGCTTCCTCACCAGGTGGATCTGAGCACGATCATCCCAGAAACGAGGACGGAAACATGATGGTCTTCAGGGCACAAAAACAACAAAAACATGGGCTTCCTCCCCTCCCAGGCTTCAGGGTTCCACCGTTCCACCTTATCATCCATGTGGTGGATCACCCATCAACTGAGTTACTACAGCGTTCTTTAACTGAGTCACATCCGAGCACGATGCAAAACACTAGAAAACTCAATTCATTTAACATCATATTGAACCAAGATTGCGGATCTTGGTGTCTTAGTCTTAGATCATCTTGGATCGATCCCTTCTTACGGACGTGTGCGCGTATCGCACACGCGCAGGCAAGGAGAGCTGAGCGTAGCGCACAAACGGCGGTGATGTGTGTTCGGAGGTGCTGAAAAGCGCTTCAGAAAGAAACTTTGACCCATTTTGACTGAAAAACATGCGAGGCCGCATGACATGGATGATATCCTATGATTCACCGAAAAGATTCCCACGAGTGGTCTTCGGCTCCTTGCGCGGTCATTGTAGTGATGCTTCTTCGGGGATGCAAGGCAGACTTGCTTCTCACATCGTATATTCAATATACTTGTTGTTTTTTGTTTTGTGTGGAGAGGGATGAAGTGGGAAAGTAAAGAATTATATATTTCATTTCTGATCATTAAACAGTTCGTTTGGATTGGACAAAGTTGTTCTCCAACATATAGTGTTGCAAAGCACGTTGGAGCATCAAGCACTAAAAAGGAAAAAAAAACAAGCAAACAGCAACCAATGTAGCGGGAGAGGGGGGCAGTGACAGAGGACAGATAGACAGATAGGTTGTATAGGTTAATGTCCAATCTCATGGGATCCAATGGATCAAAGATTCAGCTGCTAGACGGATGCTGGACAACCGCGTGGCCGTGCTGGATCAAATGATCAAAGGCCGGTGCTTTTCGCGTGGCTGCTGCTTTTCCACGGTCCTGCCTTGTATTGGAAGTGTCGTTTCACGTCACACCACTGTTGTTATTTCTCCGTGATCAGTTCCATGTGGTTTGCAGTAGAGCCGAGACCACTATGCGCAAGTGGGATGGTACAAGAGGTATGGTCGCCGTCTTCCAGTGCTTTTGCGTTGGGATGTTTAGCTCGAATCTGGCCTTAATGGGGCTTATTGCATTGTGGACGTCACATAGCATAGATACGTGTATAGATAGTGTGAGGTTGTTGTTGAGTGCTTCATTGGTCACCATTGGTCACCATTGGCTCCCACAGATTGGCAGGTTCAGTCTTATAATGAATAGGCCAACAGGAACTTGGAAATTCCACAATCCAAACGCGGGTCCCAAACCAGAAAAGCACCCAAGAGAGCCCGGAGATGAAGGTCAACAAAAAGACCAGAAGCACAAAACATGTACTGGGAACACACTTGAACAAAAAGGTTTGGACATTCTAGATGGCGTCGCCAAATCCGACATGATTGCTATGACTACGCCATGCTTCGTCTCGTGACTTTTCTGGGCATTTGGTCCTGGGCAGCCGCTGGCTTCTGTGCGTTCACGAGCGACGTCTCTTGGACGAACCGACGGTGGATACAGTGACAAGTGACAAGGCAAAGTTTCACGTATGGACATCAAAGGCCACCAAAAAAGATCAAACAATGGGGAATTGCTATAGTTTTGTTTTATCCCATTTACCAGTGGTAGTGGGTGAAAGATGATCAAAATGATCATCATCCACAGTTGATGGGTATTTATGGGTATTGGGATCTGCCATGCCCGACTTGCCATCAAGATTGATGTTCCTTCACCCAGATAGACTTCAGAGATCATGTGCTACCACGGCTACTGCAATCAGGGTTGGTGAACACATCCACACACCTGACATCCAGAAAACAGCGGGGAAACGCAGCGAACCAACGTCGACGCCTCAGGAGTCGACCCAGACATGGCCGGCGGGCTGGCGTCGCTCGACGGCTTGGTAGATGCGACCCGTGGGGGTGGCGGGAAGGCGGGGGAATTGGACGCTCTCAGACTCTTTTGGACAGTGGTAAGGTACGGTCATTTGATGTTAACCTCCAGAACAACAATCGTTGAGTGTAAACTTAATTTGTCAGCTTGGAGAGCTTCAAGGAACTGGTCAGGGAGTCTAAGCTGATTCAGATTGAGTTCGTATGTCCTATCAGTCCTATCATGTAAAGCTTTTGTTTGGGCATCCGTGGGTGCCCACTGGTGGGCTTAGGATTTGTTCGGAAATCCACCCATGTCACAACGACTCACTGCATATATAGGACTTGCACCTGCTCTGCCAGCGGCGTTGATTTTCTACATGTCTCTGGACGAACACATCAAGAACGCGGTGTTTTTTGTTGTTCGATGAACGTCAAGGTGGATGAATGTCCGTATATGTTTTTATGATGCAGCCTTGGAACCCGGAATGTCATGTGATTGTCCTTTCCTCCTTGGCTTTGGCTTGCTTCATGGCAGGGTATGGCTAGTGGAAAACAGTTATTTACAACAACACAGTGGGGAAAAAAAAAACATTGAAAACAGCAACGCCGTTATTGCAGGGTATGGCTTCATTTTCACGCCCTTTCGTCCTTGTCTAAGGTGAGGGGCTCCGAGCCTTGCATGACCTCTTCGGCTGTGAGGGTCCCTTGGTCGCCGGACGAACGGCGAGTGAAGATGGGTGAAACATGGGCCGGGGCGTTTGGGGATCGATAGGTTGCTGTTTTGGGAGTTTGGCTTTTGGGATGAGCTTGGTTTTTGGAGGATTTTGCTCGCGTGTGCACAGAGCAAGCAACTATTGTGAGGTATGCAGTGCGCCAGAGGAATGCCAGTGGATCATGGACCTGACTGTCAGATAGATAGATTCATCAGATGTCCATTCCTTCATCCCCTTCCCAAACTTGGACATGGGTGACATGCTTTTGCTTTCTTATGAGTCTATATGGTTGTCGATCTAAAGGTCCTAGTCAGCAGTGTGTATGACGATGACCCGGAACATATCAAAATCTCATTTGGCGAAAGTTTTTCCTCGAGTTGGCGAAAGTAAATTTTTTTTTGGCGAAAGATCTGGCGAAAGATTAAATATGTACTTTTGTATGAATGTTCATTTGCTTTCTGAACAGCTGGTGGCAGTGACTCAGAAGCTAGATGAGCTGTGGAAGTTAGATAACCTGCTGCTGCTGCGACTACTACTACTACTACTACTACTACTACTACTACTACTACGACTACCACTACCACTACCACTACCACTACCACTACCACTACCTACCACTACCACTACCACTACCACTACCACTACCACTACTACTACTACTACTACTACTACTACTACTATTCCTGCTCCTGCTTTGGGGGGTGGCTTTGCCACAAAACTCTACCCCGCAAAAGGCGAAAGTTTGGCGAAAGTTCAGCTCAAGATTGGCGAAAGTTCACCCTGCCACATCTGACCCCCAGCCCATTATGAGTAAGTTTGAGTGACCGGCTACTACAGTGATTCTTGCAAATTTGAGTCTTGCTGACACCCAGGAGAAACAAAAGAGACGTACAGGGTGTCAACAGTTAAGTAGAAGACACATGCTGACAAACAGTGAAGTTTCTATTTTGTGTTTGCCAGTAAAGAAGAAGCCATTGACGTGAACAAAACACAACATACATGGCACACATAAATACAACGTACTTCGGCGAAAGATAAAACGCAGGAAGGCGAAAGTTTGGCGAAAGTAAATTTTTTTTGGCGAAAATGACGGATCCCGGATAAAGGAATTTAGATCAACTCCCATATAGACTCTCTAGTATATAGCAATGCAACTTTTCTTACACCACCCCGTAAGGTCTCCTCCTCGTGCGCTCCCAGCCTCCCAAAACGCCCTGCTTTGCGCATCGCAAGTCCGTGCCCAGGCTACAACCGGGGCGCCCGGCCCTCGCCGGGCACCGTCGCCGAGCTGCTGGCGGCGCTGGACATGGAGGACGACGGCACCGAGGGCAGCATCGATCTGCAACGCTTGAAGAGGCGGGAGCCGCGCGAGCGGACGAGGTGCTTGAGCCCGGACGAGGTGCGCGAGCTGGTTTTTCGGTGAAAGTCACGCGCTGGAAGTGAAGTGGAAGAACATCTCAATCACATATGGATAAGACGTGTGGAAGGAGTTGGGGGGGGGCCTGTGGCAAAAAAAGAGGCCAAGGGGAGTTTTGGCAGTTCTTGTTGGGCCTTTTGGCGTAGGACTGAAGAAGCTTCAGGAGGAATCGATATGAATTGATCAACCTGTGGAGTGCTTTTTGGATGTGCTTGGAGCTGGCCATCTCTCGCACCACAGGCCTACCGTAGTTTAGCAGCCCAAGGTCCACTCTTCAGGACAATTCTGCACAAATCCCTCTTGGTCAGTCTGAATTTGTTGTTGATACCTGCCATAAATATTTATGAACGGGTCACTTGATCAAATCCACGAAGAGAGACTGTCTATGGGCACAACGCATAGTCGATGGGCGCCTGGTGGGCTTTAATTGTTCGACAATAGGTTGAAACAACCCCTCTTTGCAGGAAGTTCGGATGAGTGGAAAGTAGAGCAGAACCAGCATCACGCAGTCATACACACTCCCTAAAACAAGCATGGAAGTGGATGCCATGGCCCCAAGGTTGGATGGTCATGCAATCGACCAAACCATCCGAAGACCAAACAGGTGGTGCACTCAATTCCGCGTCATCATGATGTCGGGCAGCGATGTTTGGCCAGGAGCTACCGTGATCTCTCAGTGAAGCACCATCCGGACAAGAGCTCTGACTCGGGCCGACGTGCCTCGATGAAGGCCGAAGAAGATGACCAATGCGTGAAGAGATCCGGTTAGAAAGAATCCAGGAGCTTTTGTACGTTTTGGTGCGACAAGCGACTGTGTTCAGGATTTCAGGCTGGTATCTTGTGGGGACTTTCGAACAGATGCGAAGCATGGCGCTTTCTGGTTCTCCTAGGCTTTCAACAGCTCCGGGATGCCTTTGAGATCCTGGAAGATCCTGTGAAGCTCTTGCTGCCTCTCGACTCTTCGACTCTTCGGGCGTCCATCTACCATCATCGATGGTGGTTTAGTCGATGGCACAGACCCCAATGATGTCCTTTGAATGGGTGACCGGGTGTCCATATAACCCACCTCTTAGGGGTTTGTGCCAGTGGTCCTCTCAATCCACTGTACCTGGATTGTTGGGGTATGGGACTGCCCTCATTCAACATCATTGGGGTGGGAGCCAGGGGGATCTAATCATTTATTCTTTATAACTATAGCTTCTGAGTAGTAGGAGCCCCATCTATGCTCTATGTGACAATGTGGGTCAGGTTTGGTGACCTTCCCTAGGGGTCCGAGTCCGAGACCCTTTTCAGATGGTACGACTTGGGACCCTCCAAACCTACACATTCTCAGAGGGTATGTGGATGCCTTGGTTACCAGAATCTTCAGTCATCTTCAGTCCACCAGAATCGCGAACCCATTTCCTCCAGCCCAGATCGCTGGTGAAGCATGGGCTGTCCATTCACCCTGCTCCCGCTGCTCGCCACGAGCCATAGAGACCCCGCCAAGCGTGCACATGTTACCACGTTCTTTGCTCTTTAAACATGAAGGGCGTTATGGGGAAGGGGAGCTCTTTGGTGCAATGGAGGTGCAAAGAAGCTTTAGTTGTTATAGTTTCCAACAGTTAAGTTGTTGTTTGTTTTTGTTACTTGTTACTTTCATTCTAAGTGCACTCAGGGGAAAAAGAAACATGGCCTCTCCAAGTCTTCAATTGAAGCTACTCCTCGCAAAAGCGTTTGGCAGATTGCTACTCCTCGCACGTCCAGGTACGACACCGGTGGTTTGGAGCTTCTACGACGCTACGAGGCGCATGCGGAGGAGGTGCCGCAAACCGAGAACTTGGAGATCTCGCACCAGATCAGCTTGGAGGACGACTGGGACCCTCCCAGCCATCCCAGCCTGCGTTGACGACGCCGCCGATTGGTCCGATGTAATTATATGCTGGTGTCCTTTGAGTCCCAGCCACAGCAGCTGGTTGGCAAAGAGACTAAAACCAATGCACGCGCCTCCTTTCACTAGGTTTTAGCAGAATGCCATTCTTCCGTTTTGTTGGATTGACGGATGCGCAGCATGCACGAAGTCTGAGCGGAGGATGCCTACGCAGGAGGGAGCTACAAGTTGGAATATTCTCGCCATGTGGTTTGCCTCTCCTGCCGCTTGCAGCCCCGCCTGCCGCGCTGTCGGCGGTGCCAAGCATGCCCGGATGAGATCGAACATCGGCAGGTTTGGGTGAACTCATTTGATGCTCGGACTCGGATGAAACAAATGAGGATGATAGAAAGACCCTAGGGAACCAGTCGTACCTTCTCAGGTACGCTGATTGGAGACACTCTTATGTAGGTTTTGGGGCTCCAAGTACCTTCTGACAAGGTATTTGGATCCGTAGGGAGAAGGAGAAGGAGGGATCACGGTTGATAACTTTTCTGATCAACGGTTGCAATCTTCAAGCAGAGGCGACATCCATTCAACGGATTCCACCTCGCCTGCTGGAAGGGATTTGGAGCAAACTTCCAACACAGCCGTTGCCGCCAATCTATCACTTAGGTTGCACCAAAAATGCGTTGAATTCCATTCCAAATTGCTGGGGGTGTTCCCGCAACTCCCCCATGTTCTGGCCCATGCCACCATTAGGGTTTGGTAAAAATACTCTATCCGAAGCCTTGTCAATGCTTGCGGTTCAGTAAGTGCGACTAAGTTCCCTACTTCTCCAGTCACCCGAACTTTTAACCATCCGAAGGCTCCTGGAGCCTCTTTGACGACGAAACGCCTCGAAACGCATCCAGGAATGAACAGGTGGTTAACGTTTTTTCCTTAAGAACTCAATTCCTTGGAGACAGCTTCACTCTCATCACTCACATCATGCAGTTGATCGCCCGAGTGCTCCCACACTGAGGAGTACTATGTGAAAGAACTTCGAAAGCCAAGCCCCGTGGCATGGCCCAACAAGAGCAAAAGACTTGGTGACTGCATGGTGGTGAGCTCATCAACGCGAACTTCGAACCTCAAAAGGGTCATTGTTAGTACATTATGTGATGCAGCATGCATTTTAGTGTGTCCCATTGTCAGCAACAGTCAGTAAAACATATCATCACAATTACTATATGAGGAAAGGATGGGAAAGGCAATATAGTGCCATCATGTTAGGTTTAAAGTTCTCCTAGCGGTCCTAGCAGTTCACAGGGCGAAGCTAGAAGTTCGCGCAACGGTGACCTCTGACGGCGGAACTGACCCTTCCAAGCCCTGTGGACCTCGGCGTCAGGCGTCTTGGGGACAGGGCGATCGATGATGGGACCCTGACGTTTTGGAAAGTAGACACCACATCCTACAATGGCCTTTACTCCACATGAACTGTATCTTCGTAGACCTTAGTTCTTGCTCAGATTCTTGCTTCAATTTCTGGGCCCTTATCTTCCGACCCTTTCCAATCCAACATGACACCCAAGTCCGGTCAGTCCATTCCTCTTCCCTCCCTCCACGCCCTTCTCCGCGCCGCGCAGGAGCGCTGTCGTCGTGGCACCGAGTTCCTCCCCTTCGCCGTGGAGCGCGGCAGCTCCAGCGGCGACCGACTGCGCTTCGAGGGACGAGCGGATCAGCTGCCAAGCCACGTGCCGCGGAGACCGAGAACGGAGGGGGGAAGCGGTGGGACGGGTGTGCGGTGGGAGATGTCCAGCATTCAAAGAGGGGGTGGAAGGTGTGACAGGGGTAATTCCGATGTCTTTTTGCAATTTCTTTGCAATAAGGCATGGTGAAAGCTGGGGTCTTGTGATGCCACCTTCCTAGACTCCTCGACTGTATTGTGCATCGGTCTGTGCAAAGTTGGAGTTCCACGCAGGTTTGAAGCCGGTGTCACCTGAGCCTGAAGCTTGTGGATGACATCATCCCTTCAAGCTTCCATGGAATCTGACAAGAAATGTTTATAAAGGTTGCTCACCCTTCGAAACACACTGGCCCTTGGGGTCTCCATTTTCACAAGTTCACTTTCTTGGGAGTTGTGTCACTGGGGTCGTGGCCGTGAGCCACAGTACTGTAACAAAGAGCACGCCCGCCATTGAAGAGGTCAAATTTGAGCTCTGTGTGTGTGTTGCTCTGTTTCTGTTGGGAAAGAATCTATGTTTTCCATTGTTTTCCTAATGTTGTCCAACAACCGCATGTAAACAAACTATGTGATGCCTTGGTCTTGCATTTCAACATATTTCGACCCACATCCTGCTGACGGAACACTTCCGCACACTCTTCCAGGTACCTGGTGATGTGCTGGTCACACTGCTGCTTGGCCTCTGCTTAGGCGAAGTGATGTCCTGCTTTCACCAGCTCACGGGTCACGATGCTTGCAGGAGAGCAAGACCCTTCCGTCGGAGGGTCTTGCTGGATTCCTGGGGCAAAGTCAGGAATGGATCAGATGAGTGATTTGCAAAGACACCCAAGTGTCACACCCAATACTTTCATTGTTATATTATCATATCACATTATTCCTATCATTTCATATTGCTTTCCTCATTTCGTTGGCGCTTGTGGTCCTGGTAAGTCTTGCACCCCCATGCAGCACAAGAAACGCTCACCCAACCAGAGGGTTTGTGGCTGGAAACCCTTCCCAGCTGCAGATCCACTGGGCTTTGATTCGGGCGCCAAGGCAGATCAAGCCGCACCACGTGTTCAAGAAGGCATCTGGTTCAGCTGGATGGAACCTCCGCCAAAAGCTGGTACTTTTGGAAAATAGATGTGACCATACGCGACCTTTTGAAAGCAGTGTGGCCATGCAGTGATGTAGGGGGCGGCGGCAGCAAATGATGATCAGATGTTTTCCTCGAAAACATCCATTGAGACCTGCGGAAGGTTCAACTTGTCTAGACAGGGCACTGTACTGCGCAACGGATGCTGGAAGAGAGTACATCGTAATAGTTGTTTCAGACGCGCTGCGTTGAACAAAGAGAGGTCCATGAGAGATCAAAAAAACGAAAACACATAAAATCTATTGATTCGTGCTGTTCAGACCAAACGCTAAGTTCCAAAGTCCAAAGTAACGACTGCTCAAGCTGTCCCCCCAAAGACCACTTCCATTCGTGTGTTCCGATTTGCCTGATATGACCCATGCAGTGACCCATAATTACACATGATTTAATCACACACCCACTTCCAAAAAGTTCCTGCAGCCTGGGAGTGGCACTGCCTAAAGCACCAGGCTTCTCCAGTCCCCGGCCAACCAGGTGGGCGCCGATTTGGTGATCCATCTTCGCCGCTCGGACGGGAGACGTTTCGCACCGGAGACCGCGGAGACCGCGAGACCGGTAGACGGATTGGAGCGGATTGGACCGGTTCGCAGTCCAAGGATGGAGATGTCGGACTCAAATCACCGGTAGGGGCGGAGAAACAAGAATCAATATACATATCGATGATCTTTGACCATCCTCCTTCGTCTCATCTTGGGGGGGGAGTGAATCGGCATCTTCGAGAATCTCCGTCGGCTTTAGGGACCCCGGGGCAAACGGTTGAGACCTGAAATCGGTGGAGACCCGCAGATGAGGCGTTAGAGTTAGACCTCGCGCCGCGCCAAATTGGGTGCTGCAAGGAATCTCTTTGATGGAGGCGCTTTTGGGCTTTCAGCGTGAGATACATCACTTAGATGGAAACTTGGAGAAAGGATTCAGAGAAGGGGAAGGACGACTCCGGTTATGGGACATGAATTCCAGAGCTTGATCTAGCGATCCAGGACATCTGAATTTGGGCCTACATGCAAAAAAGAAGGACGATTTTTGCTGTATGTATTGACTTCTCATGATCCCCGCATCGGCAAACTCGACACACCTCAGGACCTTTGTTGCGTGTGTTGATTGTTGGGGTTGCACCGTTGCACCAGCCGCTAGCAGCTGCCGTGCCGTCCAGCGTCAGGACATTTGGTCCAGGTCTCACTGCCCCGTGGCAGCGTGCTACAGCCAGAGGAGCTATTGGTCGTGGAGGGCGAGGGGATGTTGCTCGGTGGAGGTTCAGACAACTCCGCAGGTCAGGAGGCTTCGGTAGCACCGACATGCAGGTCGGAATTCACAAGTCTTCGCTGGTTCAGACTTGCATGCATATACGACGTTCGGTCCGCGTCCGATCGCTCCGTTCGAGTCGCGATGCCCTTTGTTGCTAGTAGCTTCCTTGCTCCGTTCGTAGCGATGCCAGGAGCTACTAGCATCTACTAGTGTCCGTGCTGCTTCCATCAACCCGTACCCTAGTTTTTTTCCAGCATTTTGAAGAGTAGACAATGTGGGGTCAAAGTGGGCTCTCGATGAGTCTTGCCCTACTTCCATGGAAACAATATACAAGTTCCCTTTTTTGATTTCATGGCACGAAGGAGGAAGATCACCGCACATCCACATCAGACTAGATTTCAGTCTCAGGCCATTGCATGATGATCCCTCCAGCTACGGCCGGCTTTTAGTACGCTTCACCATTGACTTCCCAGAGACTTTGGCTGGAGATGGCAGAGGCAAAGGATTGAGTCGAAATTCTTAGAGCAATTCCAAGACACGGAAAACATTGATCGCTCCTTTCGGAATTTCAATTTGACAGAAAAGGACCTGCCAGATTTGCCAGATCTTTCTACACCCAAAGAAAGGGGCACTAACTGGGTCTATAGGTAATTATGTCAAACAATCTTCACACTCGCATCCCCACCAAGCTTTTTGCTGGGAACCAGACCGGAAACCTTCACACTTTCACCACCTTTCAGGCTCCATCTTTGCACCCCTTCCTTAGGGCTCCAAGTACATTCTAGGAAGGTGGGACTGGGGTGGGTTTAAAGTTTAGAGGGCCCAAATATGTCCAAATACGTTCTGAGGAGGTACGACTGGAGCCCCTCAGGGCTTGGCTTTTTGTTTCGCCTCGCTTCTCCAACGATTCGATCCACCAGCGGTGCCGAGGACTTTGTGCCAAGCTCCGCAGCGAACGCTTTGGAGGAGGCTTTGAGGATGGCTGGTTGAGGCGAGAACGGTGGTTACCCGGCTCGGCAGTGCAGAGATACACATCTCTCAGCGTTAGCCTTTAAACAAGTTTGGCTTGGATGGGCTGTCGGGTTTTGTGCTCTTGTCAATGCATTTCCCACAAGCAGCAGCAAGAGAGCTTTACATGATCTTACATGTATATTGTAAACATACTTCCCAACCTATAGATTCATGCTTGTGGTGCCTGGAATGACTTGAAACGATTTCAGCAACCGAGTCTCAAACGATGAGTCCTTGGCAGATCGCTCCAATGAGCAGTCCATGGCCGCTCTCCCAATCACTCCGCTGTTCACGTGATCTCCGACGTGAAGGATTCGAAGGCGCACCAGTCGGGGCTGTTGCCGGTGCAGACGGTGGAAACCTACCGCCGTGCGTCAGTAAGCCGTGTGTGCTTGGCCGGGTAGCCTTCGAAAACATGGAGCCTCGATGAACATTGCAACATGAAACCCTTGGATCCGTGCGACATGAAACGCCGCAAGGGGGCGAACACCTCCAACATGCCAAAAGGTTCGCTTTTTTTCCGACTAAGGGAGTGGCTAGAGGTCCAAGGTGAAGATGATATGGTAACTTTCATAGGAAAGAGATCCGGAGAAAGAGTTATTGAAGTTCTCGCGTCATGTTTGGAGCTTCGCCTCCTTTTACAAGGAGGACGTGCAAAGCGATGTGCTTCATTGATTCTTTTCTTGATTTGAGTGTCCATTCCCATCGGTGAGGGTGTCACCCAGGAAATCCACTCATCCTCCGGCATTGGTCAGGCGATCGACAAAAGCGAGATCTCGTTGGATGTGACACCATGAGCTGATGAGCCGCTGATGATGAAGGAGCAGAGGCAAAAAAGAGGTGAGCGGTGGGGCAGTTTTCGGTGGGGTAAAGGGAACTCAGCTGGACTGTGGGTTTTCTCAGTGGTTTTATCATGGTTCATCATTGTAGAGTCAGTGGGATGGACGAAAACACACTCGTAAATGGTAGGTGGGTTGTGGTGCATCCTGACCATTTTCTTGTACACGTTGTTTGGGAGTGTCACCGAGTGTCACCCACCAAGGAGTCAATCAAGATCAACCTCAGGGCTCTTTAAGGCAAAACGGCCCACCGTTGGCGGACATGGTAATTAGACCTCTTCCAGGACAGCTAGCTGGGGTACTCACGGTCAACACCAAAGACCCAAAATGCATGTTCCTCCCTTTGCAGACGCGACTCAATGGATTCACGTACCAAAGAGCTGACGAACGCCTTTGCAATTTTTGTGAAACAATTATGGCCCCACACAGAACCTTCAGGTTTGAGAGGGATTGTTGAATTCTTTGTTTGTTTGATTGGGACGGGACTGTGTGGAGCGAGAGGGAACCTTGAATACCATGACACCAGAGTCTTAACCGCTGCACATATCGTGGGGTGGGGGTGGTTTTGGGCCACGCGTTCGACCACGTCGCCATGGAGTTTGGGCTCCAACTCCGTCCCATCGACCACTCCTCTCTCCGCGGCTCCGCATGCTCTTCCTGCGCGCGCTCTTCCTGCGCGCGGTGACAGCGGTGGCCTCCAGTTTGCCCGAGCTGGAGCGAACCGATCATGATTGGTTCCTTGAAGATCAGGAAACCACTAGGAACCTTGAGGCTCGAGTATTTACAGCATTCGCACCGGCATCTGTAGGACCATATTGGTATTTCGGTTTGGCATGGTTTGGCAGAGGTGTTTTCCTCTATATGTCCTTTTCATTGGTAAATACCCACTTGGGATGCTGTACAACCAATTTGTGAATCGACACAAGGTGACTGACATGTTTTTGTAGGATGTGGACATAGCACGCCCTATGCTTTTACTATTATTTTGGGAGGCTTGTTTGCTTACCAGTTAAACGTCCACACTTGAGGAGCAGATCTATTGATTGATCACCCCTGTTGCTACGCTTTCGGGGGGCACTGACATGCAGCCCCCCTCAGAAGCAGCACAGCAGTCTGGCTTTCCAAACCGCTGTTGTAGGTGCTGGTAAGCACACACGGCGTGCTGAAATAGTTTGAACACACCATGGACGCCACCAGTAGTGTTTGCTGCTTACCGTGGTGCAGGTATGGATGGTATGGATCTATATCATTCAGTAGTTCAGTCTATACCAGCACCCTCCACAGTCTCCTTTGGCAGTTGCAAGTTTTTGACCTGTTGGCAGTGCTGGTTCTTTTTGCAGTGTTCCTCATGGGTGTGGAAAGATCATTGCAGCGTGTCAGTTTTTGTGAAGCAGCACCCGCCAGGAGCAAGAAGCCCTTCATGAACTGCTTCCAGAATCCAAAGATTTTGCGGACTCTTGATTTGTCGCAGACTCAACGGCAAAGAATTCTCGGAACGGTCTTTAATGTATAGACTGACTCTTGATTCATCATTAATAAACCCCTATGAAGAGGATGTCCAATTCCATTGGGGGGTTTTACTGATCAAGAGTCAAGAGTCTATATAGATGACACATGCAAGCTAATTACCTTCGCCAATCATCAAGTTTAGCTCGATTTGGAACTCCCAGCCTTGCAATTCCCACTTTTTTGCGAGGGCCTTTTTTTTGCACATAATTGTTTTTTTTGTCTATCGGTGTGGAAAACACGCCTCAACTGCAAATTCACCAGCATTATCATAAGAATGCTATATATAATTGCTTTCTTAAGAAAGGGTACTGATTCGAATCCAAACAGAGCCCCCAGCTCCCTCCTCCTACAGCCAACCCAGATATATTCTATCACATGCATTCAAGTATCTATCATTTCTCTTCAAGGACCTCAATTTCAGCAACATGAGTCCAAAGACACCCCCAAAGAATCCCTTTGTTTTGAGACACTGGCCCTCTCTCGTGCTGCGGTTCTCTCCTCTCAGGACCCTTGTGTCCATCCCCGCGTCATCTGCGACCACGGTCACGTGGTGTTGCTGAATGGCTCGGCGCTGGGCTGGCGGACGCTGCCGGAGAGCATTGGACACCTGCAAGGCTTGAGGCGCCGACGACGGAGCGGTGTGAGCGGTCTGAGCGGCGCCCGGAGCGGGCGCGCCGAAGCGAATTGGGGAGAGGTGGGCCACATCTCGTGCGGCAGGAAGAGCTCCAAAAATGAAGGTATCATGTGGTGGAGCAGGTAGTAAGTATGTGGTGGATGGAGCGTTTTTGATGCGGTTTTGAGATGGTTGGAACGTCCTTGAGGCAGCTCTTCTTGCGCAACAACCACTTGAGCTCATTGCCGGAATCTTTCGGAAATCTTACGGAATTAGTGCAGCTTGGGTCGGCAAGAAGAGGCACAGCCACCTGCAGAGTCAAGTGAGCAGTGAGCAGTGACGGCGCATATACAGGGGCCTCCTTGTACACTTGATCCTGGAATGCTTGGCTTGATTCCCCGAAGACAATGTTTGAGTAAATCCTTGACTTTTAAACACCCTAGGGCTCCAACCATATCCTCAGAAGGTGGTTAGACCCCCCTGGCACCCACCCCAACCACCGAACCTCAGGAGGTGGGCCAGGAGCCCTAGGGACAACCACTTTAGACTCTATAGACTTTTCTCCGCTTCGAGTATTCAGGTTCCACCTTCTCCTCCAGGGAAGCCTGTGAGATGATGCCCTGTGAGATGTTTTTGCTTGACTGGGTAAGCGGGGTTTGACACTGCACCCCGTTTTGTTGACAACGATGCGAATGTCATTGGGATTAATTTCCCCATGGAAAACTAACATGGACCCTGAAAAGCACTGCATGGTCTCTCAGGGTGCCATTCGAGCGGGGTCCATGGTGCCTTCTCGGGAGTGTAGAGTTATGATTCTAGGAAGGGGTTCCCCCAGAAGCGTTTTCACTGTTAGCAGGCTTGGGAAGAGCCTTTTCGAATCAAACCTTTGGCTAGAGCCACAGCTAGCGCCCGCCAGGGTGGGGGGATCAATTGTCATTTGCTGCCATCAGCTTAAAATCTCAAAACATTCTGACTCCATGTCTGTTTAACATCTTGTAACATTTGATGACCTTGGAATTGATCAGGGGAAGTTTAGCAGCTTCCCAGGTCCAAGCAGACTTCAGGCTTTGCTTTAGTGCCGTGAGACCTGAGCAATATTGGTCTCATTTTGAGGGGACCCCCCTAAATCACTGTACCAAGTTCATCAAAAGTTGGTGACTTTACTCATAATCACTTGAACGGTGCCTTTCACACACCGATGTCATCCTACATGGGCTAATTTGAGCTCGTCATCAGACATCCCAGAAGTTTTCATCAGGTGATCAGTGTTGCAACAAGGCAGGGTTGATCACACCCCTGCATTTCGAAGCATGTGTCCTTTTTGTTGTTTTGGTTTCCCTTCGGCACGGAGTGTAGTAACGTTTGTTTCGTAGCACTTTCGCTCAGGTTTTTGTACTTGGAGAACAACCACTTGAGCTCGCTGCCACACTCCTTGGGACAACTGAAGAGCTTATGGCCACCCGGTGTAGAGACGCGGGCACCGGTACAGGCAAAACAGGGTCCGAAGTGAACGAGTGAACGAAGACGGAGAGAGCAGGCAGAAACAACGAAGAGGGAAGAGGGGCATGGAAGTGAAGGAAGACCTGTTCACAGGTTAACGGTTTTGAATGTGAAAGCAACTGTTACGTAGAATAGTGATGATTCCTTTTATCATAAGGGATATCCTGTCGCGCAGCTGCCAAGTCAGCCTCATTTCACACAGACCTGTGTGAATGTTCGAGATGTGTTTCTTCCATTGTCAGGCCCCTCCTTTAGGATATTGAATCACCTCTCAAGCAACTCCTTTGTGGTCATCCTGGCAGAAGAACCCAAAGGAGGCTGTGTCCATGATATCGAATGACTGGCTCAAGGCACCTCTACTTGCAAAACAACCAGTTGACTTCACTGCCGGAGTCTTTGGGCAACCTCCAGAGCTTGCTGTGCCTCGACAGTCTTGCAGTGCCTCACACGGCGCACGAACTCGCACAGACGGGTCCAAGTGGGGTAGATGACCTCATGGCTTGGTAGATGAGCAGCAAGAAATTGGCAGCATAAAGCAGCAATTCGCATCACAAACGAGTTTGTTTGTGATACTATTTGATTGTTCGTTTGTTTGTGATCGTGCGGCAAACGAGTTTGCGTGTTTTTTCTTTGAGTTTTGTTTGTGCCCACCACAAGTCAGACACCCTGCATCCGATCCAGTCAGCGAGATGTGCGAACACCACAAAGCGAGCCAGTCATGCGAAGACACGCGAAGACACGACGTGCGAAGTCCTTCCATTCCGATGACATGGACATCGTTCGTCATGGGAGAAGACGTTGCTGGAAGAATCGGATTTCAGAGGTGAGAAATGGCATCCGAAGATGGTGGTCCTTACAGATGGTGGTCCTGATACCGAACTTGGCCCGACACGGCCATGCAAGCTCTGAAACCACGATACCGACATTCATCCCCCCACTTTGTCGTGCTTGTATCGACCTCAACAGATGAATAAAGATCACGGATCCCAAGGATTTGCCTGCTGTGTGGACTGGCGAGTTTTTCCTCGGAGATTACCTTTCAAGTCCATTTCTCGCACCCCTGTACGATCCTTGTTTTGAGTTCACATACTCTTGCATGGTTCATGTTGGTATGGATATTCACCGGCGTTTGCGGTTTCAATTGAATTGCATCACCGCGGTTTCATTGTATCCACCGGTGTTTGCGCCACTTGTTTGCATTCACATGGTACTGCCCGATGTTGAGGGTGCTCTACTTGGAGAAGAACCAGTTGACTTCACTGCCAGAGTCTTTGGGCAACCTCACCAACTTGCTGCCTCTTGGTGCATCACATGCTCGGATCACGTTCCCCTGGAACTCACATGGTTACGTGTGAGGAGAAAAACCACCTGGGAACGATCTGATTTCACATCCGATTTCTCCGGGCCATGCAATCCCATCCACGGCCAGGCCCATGTACGTTCCAGGGAATATGTGTCACTACCCTGTGGACCATGGTGGACATGGCAATCGGCGACCCTGTGGGGTTCTTCCCGACTGACTCCGCCACTGGGAGCCACAGACATGAGGTGTTGGTGCTAAACGGAGGGGGGTGGCCAGGAGCTGTTCCCAAGAGTTTCCAATGTGAGTCTTGTTGGGTTCTGGTGATGGTTGCCTTGGGGATCCTTGAGCCAACGCTTCTTGGACCCTCCACGTCTCCACCAGCCAGACGAGTTCCCATCGGTTTTTCCTCGGCGCGTGTCGCTTCAGCCAGGCAGCTCTTTTTGCGGAGGAACCGGTTGAGTGGTTTACCGGGGACGCTGGGAAACCTACGAAGATTGCAGTTCCTTGGCTTCAACGAGGACTGGTGCTCAAAAAGTATTGACACTTCTGTGAAACGAGGACGGGCAATGAGGGGACACTTGCGACCATCTCTAGTGGTTTTATTGATGTTGCCTTGTTGTTCTATCCTTTGGTCGATCACCCGCCACTAGGTGAAATCGAAATCGCGTGATGAGTTCCAGAAGCATGAGGTGCCTTCATGTGCACGAGAACCGGTTGAGATCTTTGCCCTCATCCTTGGGCAATCTTCAAGGCTTAGAGTGCCTCGACTGAATGACCGGTCCTCGACCCCTCGACTGAATGACTCACACGCGCACACCGTGTGCGCTGCGCGGTGCCTTGTTGGTTGGAGACTGTGCCTCAGATCACTTTTGGGGGGGGAAGCGACTGTAAACAGAATGTTCCCACCAACAATGTTACATTACGGAGGGTTCCTGAATTTCAAGGTTGTGTGAAGCACGATGGGCTTATGGCATTTGATATTGTATGACTATACAAGACTATTCAGATGGATTTTTGGAAGATCCGCAATCCCTCTAGCACAGGGAATCCACACCTCCAAGTGAATTTTCAGTGTTTGTTCTTCAGTTTTTCTCTGGCAGGTTGTGTTTCTGTGTGATGTATCGCCGATGCAACTAAAAGTCACAGTTGGCACACACGCGCACATGCTGCAAGAACATGTATATTGTACAGTATACAGTATACATCAATGCCGATATGACTCTGGCAAATGTGACCATGCTTGAGAAAGGGTTTTGATGTCCACGATGGCTTTTTGGAAGTTTGGGAGAAGTAATCAATCGTGATGGTTCAATTTGGTCTAAGGCTTCTCACTTCTCCATCGTTCGTCACGTACATGGCCAGATGACCGCGTTTTCGCCAGCATTGCGATTCCATTCGGAACGGAACTGCTGGTTTCCTACTGCGCCAGTACTTCCACGGCTGCCTGTAAGGTTGCCAAAGGAAATGATTGAACGTGTATGGTGCTCGTAATTGTATGTGTATAACATACGGAACCCCTTGAGAATCCCTATAATCATATGCCTGCGGCGTGCGGCGTGACGGAACACACTCCACGTGGAGAACTCTTAGGAGCCTCTTCTTGCAAGAGAATCAGCTGACTTCACTGCCGGACTCTTTGATCAAGTTGACGCAACTGAAGCTCCTCGGAGGTGAACTTCAGTTCGGAAGAACGACAGATGTTGGTCATTTAAGCACCCGTTGTTTGATAGATGTGCCATGATGTGCCATTGAATCAGGCTTTGTTGCCTTGACTGCGGCAAGGCAAGTTTGATTGCACCTATTTGTTTCTTTGGCCCCATCTGCACTGCCACTTGACCACTCCAAAGCAGTTGTCCATTGGGCTTTGCCATCAGCCAGTATTGCTCCGCGGTGAGCCGCCCACATCAACCGGGCAGAACCCTGAAGAACCCTGCAGATGGACGAAGCAACGCTCCGAGTCCATGAGGAACCTCCATTAAAAACAACACACGCGAGGCTGAGGCTAGGTCAAAGAAGCCTCCTGTACCTTGGATAAGCTTGGCCCACGTCCCTTCCAACCCTTGCACCCCTCTGCCGCGAACCCGGATCCGGCCCGACGCGTCTTCTGCACGGGTCGGCCCGGCGTGGCCGGCCGTGCAGTCAGAGACAAGCACTGGCCAGGCGCCTCCACGCGCAGCACAATGACTTGAGATCATTTCCAAATACATCAGGCCAAAGCTCACTGCTTTGCATGATGCATCATGATGCTTTCTTGGCACAGTCCGCTTGTTTTTAGATATTTTTTGAAGACATGCTTGGAACTTGTCCCCTTTGCGATGCTCGACTTGCGATTTTCCTTTTGGACCAATCCATCGCAAGGGACCCTTCTTCCTTGGCAAGTCGCTCTACTGCAGCACAACCGGCGTCTTGGCGTCTTGTTTTGTTCAACCTTCACATGTTTATTGTTCAGCCTCGCGAATCGGGTGTTTGCGAATTGTTGGGTTCTTCCTCCTTCAGGCGGAGCAGTTCACTGCGGGCCAGTAATAGGGGCAGGTTCTTGAAGCGATCGATCGATCGGGCGGTTCGGCGCAGCCGACAGCTGGATGGATCGAAGGGTTAATCGGAAGGAGAGGGTGAGAGAAAGAGGGAGAAGGCGAACGCACAGAACGCCATGCAAGTCTTTCAGATGTGACCCACTGTTCCGGAAAAAAGAGATGCAACTGATGCAACTGACTGCATGGCTGATCAAAATATATCAGGATCGAATCTGACAAGACAAAAAAGCATGACTTCCATCTGAGGATGTCAAGTCTGGAGGCCCTTTGTGACCTACCTTACCTCACTACGCTCTACTTGCATCACAACCAGCTTCGCCGCTGGGCAGATCCGTCGGGGCGTCGGGCGAGCAAGAACGCTGTTGGGGGAGCATGAAGAAACACGGAGAACTGCCGGGTACTTGTAAGAGAGGAGTAGATCCACTATATATATAATTATATATAATTATATAATTATATATATATATGATCCACTACTTGTATGCCCAATTGCTTCGACCCCGGCTCAACCACCCCAATGTACATATGTACCGTTCTGTACCATACTGGATGGTTTGGGTAGGGAATGGCTAAACGGAAAACCTGCATAGACATCAGGATGGTTCTTGTGTTTCACCGTCCGCTGGCCGCCAGGGCCTGGATTGACTGGATCTTTTGATCGAATCATCCCCATATTCGGTCCTATGTACCTCAGGGTCATAGACAGATATGACTGTTGATGCAGTACTGAAGATTCAACTTCCACATGATTCCACATGTCAATTCTTTCAGCATACAGCATATATATGTCGTCCTTTTCTTGTTCTCCCAACAAAGGGAACGAGATTCCTACGTGCATTGGCAGCTTGGACGATTTGCAAGTCCTTACACTCCACAGGAATGCTTTGACGGGACCAATTCCTCCTAGGTTGGCCCAGTTGCCTCGACTGAAAGTGCTGACTTTGCATGGGAACCGTTTGATGGGATCCCTGCCAGCCACATTTCACACATCAGCACAGCTCCTGTTCTTCTCGGCCTTTTCCAATGACTTCACTGGACAAGTGCCACCCATGAAGCTTCAGGCTGGTTGCATAGATGATGAGTCGTTTTGGATGGATGCACCAGTGAAGGGCACTTCGACATCTTACACAGTTACGTGTGATGTACTGGGAAGGCTGCTGAGTATCGAGAGTCTGGAGCTGACAAAACGACAGTACCAGGAGATTTTGGATGCTTGTCCTCAGGTGCACCGCCGTTGCAAGGATGCCCCTTCCAGAGGGCCCACGCTTCTGTTGCAGAGCAATCGTTTGTCTTGCACTTTGCCGCTGCAAGTGGCTGCAGACAACTCATCGGACTTGCGATCGTTGATGGTGGTGGGCAACATGCTTGGCACTGAGTGGATGGATTTACCAAGATGGGTCTCCAAATCAGAAAGGCAACCCTTCTTGTACGTCTCACCTCTCAAGTTCTTGGGGCGTCCAATTTCTGGCCTTCAAGGACTGTTCTTGATTCTCATTGGGCTTTTGACTCTATTCCTGGCCTGCCTACGCTTCAGCCTCAGCTGCTTCAATTGCAAGGAACTCATGGAGACTATGCGTGAGCATCGGGAGGATCATCTGTGGCGCTCGCACCTGTTCCTGATCCGACAGATTTTAGTCTTGCTGCCAATGGCCACCCTGCTTTTTTGGTGCTACACATGGCATGCGTCTTACTATGAATGTGGCAGGGAGCTCAGCAAAACGACCCTGGCATACTTTGAAGGCGGTCAAATGGCGGAACTAGCTCTCGCTTGTCTTTGGTCCAGCTGGAGCCTTCTTTGCCTCTACCATGCGCGAAGGATTCCTAAACCAGGTCGTCACCTCACGAGTTCCTCATCAAGCCCGCTTGCGCCCAGCCGTGTCTGCGGACGATGCCGGAGGAACCTTCTCCTGAAGTCTGCCTGGTGCGCCTGGGGCGAACAATGACCCCAGATTGCGATATAACCGAGTTTCGCTGCCGGGTGTGTTTTGAGGGCCCCTCCCACAAAAGACGCCTGCAACGGGAACCTCATTGGGATTGATGTAGCCACACTTTACACAGAGTCCTCAGAAGCATTTTAAACTCTTGTTTGCTTTGAGCCTTGTGATCTTTGTTGCCCCAGTCAATCTTCACAGACTGCAACAGACTTCTATACATAGTTGCAGTGGGTCACTGACTGATCAGATGATACTAGATAGGGCAAGCACAGTGTGAGAACATGCGTTCACTAAATTTCTGGGGTCAGCCACTGGAAGCTCCAGGGCCATTTGCTTGCCCAGGTGCACTTTGGTTCATGCTTGTGGTGATCCTCTCTTTGCCATCCTTGGGTTACGCTTTCGTGCAGTCACTGCCCCGAGAGAACAGCTTCCAGATGCAGCACCTCACCGAAAAGCATACTCAAACTGTAAAATCAAGTATCACCTGGTTGAAAAAGACCCCCCCAGAGATACATCACCTAGCGATGCCCTTTGTTCCGTTCGTTGCTTCTTGTTACTAGCAGGTCCAGGCCAGGAGCCCCAATCGTAGCGTCCGAACGCTCCTATTTGGAAGCACTTGCTCCTAGTAGCGTCCTTGCTGCTTTTTAGCCTTTATGGATCCCAACGTTTGGGACACAGTTTCTTCCCTCTTCTCCCGTCTTCGAGGAGCACCAGCGTCTTAAAGGCCGTCCATGGCGGTGCTGCCCTGCTGATGCTTCTCATCGACGCGCGGATCCAACTGGACGATCAAAGCTCCTATTTAGATCAACCACCATGTTCTGCTGGATTTTAAGCTAGAATTCTAGAATTTGGCTGGAATATGTTCCCCAGCTGCAGTGTTGAAGCTGGGATGCTCCAGGGGTGTTTGCTTTTATCAGTTCTGTAACTCAATACGTACCAGGACGTGTTTCATCCACGCAGTTACGGACATACCTGGCCTGTTTCGGATGGGAGTTTGTGAGCTCAAGGAAGTGCGGAAGTAGTTGCCAACAGCGCTGCCTCTCGCCTGGTGGAAACTGAGGTGTACTGGGTGATGAGATGACTTGCCACGGAGTGCATGGGGTGGGGTGGGGATGGGGGGGGCTAATAACGTCCATGTGGGCTGGCACACGCTTGGGACGCTACGTTGATGATGCCACGTGGATGATGCCACGGAGATAAGTTGCCACGGAGTGCGTGGGGTGGGGATGGGGTGGGGTGGGGGCTAATAACGTCCATGCGGGCTGGCGCACACTTTGGACGCCACGTTGATGATGCCACGTGGATGATGCAAGGGATGTAAGGCCCCAGCCCCCTAGGTCCTAGGTGTTTAGTAGATCTTTAGTAGATCAGGTCTTCAATCAATTATGCTCTTGTGTTTGTTCGCTGCTCAGTGGGGTTGCTTGGATGACTTTGATATAAGTGGAGAAGCATCCACGCGGCGAAGCCGCATGTGATGCTGCAAGAGTTGGGCGACCACTTCAAGAGGTCCGAATGAGGAGAAAAAAGTAGCTTCTGACATTGCACTTTTCGGCCCCTTTTCGTCGTGCACGCACTTCTATTGGGATACATCACGCAACCACCAATAATACCCAGGCGACCAACAGCGTAGTTCCCAAGTAGTTTCGAAAGTAGAAGATAACTTAACAGTCAATGACAGAACCCACTATAGGCAACTGTACTTGTCTATACTTGGCTCATCTTGATTCTTCTAAGTGACATTTTGACACAGTTTGAGGGTATACACGTACACACCGGTGCCCATTTTGACTGCTTCGACTCTTGCTTTCGACTCTCTGCCTCTCCACACTGTGGAAGGTCGGGCTAGAGCCTAAGGCGACTAGGGACATCGGTGGTTGAACCATGTTGAACTGCTTTTCAGATTGCTTGGACCCAGGTTGACCTCACACCCGAAGGCTCGTCGGCTCGTCGGACCCGAAGCCCCCTTTTGGAAGGGTTGGGCGTCTCCAATCCCTCTAGGTTTGGAGGGACCAAAAGAGTGTTTGGAGCATTTGGGGGACAAAGAGTTTGGAGTGTCTCAAATCGGTTTGGAGGGACCAAAGGGGTGTTTCGAGCGTTTGGGGGGGGTAAAGCTAAAGCAAGTGTTGTGCGGAGCTTTTTCACCCAGACTCGCCTGCCCAGGACATGGGCATCACTCCGCCTTTGGCCAGGATCATCTCCCGCCGCTCCGGCATCCAGCGCTCCATGCTTTTGATGGCGGCACGTACGGGCACCATGTGGCTCAATGCCACTCTTTGTGCCATCTACATGAGTGAACACTGCATGCGCGGATGGACCACGCTTCTTGACTTCTTAGTGTTAAGGCCTTGTTGTATATTTGTATATGGCAAGAACAAAATTCGAACCTATAGATGATTGTGCATTCCCCGAAACATACCCCTGGAGCACACGCTCAGGTTCAACGCGCATTGCCACCTACCCGATTTATTGACGCACCCCCCTCATATCAATCCTGCGCACCTTAGATGGGCAATTTCCAACTCCCTACAAGTCCAGGACAAGCGACGTGCACATGCTTTCAGAGCCAGTGTTTAGCACCAACTCTAACCTTGTCAAATCGTGGAACCCCCGCAGAAATCGCTTACAATCTGGGACCCTAGCACTAACTTTGTAGCAGTTTTGTAGCTTTGTTTTCTGGGGACGAGTCTCTCAGTCTCCAAGGTGTTTGTGCTTCTTGTAGCCAAAATAGGTGTGCAGGGTGTCATTGACAGGATTATATCATTCTGAAAAGAGAACAATACCTTAGTGCCACTGCTGGTGGTGGACACCTTGGAAGCACGGGGTGCCCAATGAACAATTTTTTCCTCATCAGACACGACTATCCTGAGACTTAGGTTCTGGACCATGTGCGATCCAACGTCAGATCTCTATCACCGGTTCGAGGTTCGCCTTGGACATCATCGTTTCTTGGATCCAATCCAAGACTTATGTGGCTCGACTGCACTGTCCCTAGACCAAGACTGTGTGGAAGCTGTTCTCAGGGGCCCTGTCAATAGATTGACTTTGATTGATATAAAACGGTTGTTGCGTTGTGTGAGGGGGGTCGAGAGATTTGCATGGTGCTGTTTGTTCGACTCTAAGTGGGACAAGAGAGGCGGCATCAATTTCCTCAAAACTGTTGAACTTGAAAGGGGCTTTGTCCAGACGATATTTCACGGAGCCTGAGACGTGTTGCGACAACTTCTCAAGTTTCGAGGAGGCTCCCATCATTGGAAGAGATCGTCTCACAACACGGGTGAACGCGGAAAAAAAAACATGGCGGGCCATGTGAGCATGGGCCGGCAAATGCACAACACCTAGCAGGCAATTGCATGGGTGAACATGACAGCAGACTTTTTGTTCTGGAGATGGGAGCTGAAGATAATCAGATCGAAGATGAGTTGTGGACTATGAGAATGGAGGAGGAGTGCACATGACCCTTTTGGTTCGTGAGGCACAGAGAATCATCGATGGTGGAAGGAGGACGCATCTCGGACTCGAAAAGGGAACGGAGAACTCTGTAGCTTAGCTTCCAGTCGTTTTCCTGACAAGTCCTACTCTGTTCCTACCCCCAAACAGATAGAACAGTAGATCCCCACTAAAAGTGTATCGGAAACCGTTTTTATCTATTATAGGGGACCACAGTAGAACTTTCTATGCACTGAGAAAGTTTATACGTCCGTTCTTTTTTGCAGCAGCTTTGCTTCAGAGACCAGATGAGAGCTGGTGCATCATGCTGCGGGTCATGAAATCTCCAATTCTACAAGTTAAACCCATGTGAAACCCAAGAAGCCGCCACCGGAACCCGAAGGAATCCACCTGGTCATTGACATGTCAGCACCTTTCGATGTGCTGTGCTTCCTCGTCCTTCCCGGTGATAAGTCCCAAGCGCCGGACTTGCCAGACCTCCAAAGGGCCTAGCGGTCTCCATGGTCACGGTCTCGTCACGGGTGCCCGGTCTCCAGACAGGGCACCCCGACAGGAACGCGCCTATATAGGTAGGTGGTTGGGACCCCCTTCTATAACGTGAATGTGTGGTGTGTGTGTGTGTGTTTCTATTTTCAGATTCCTGGACAGGCAATCCAAGCCTAGGCTTGCCCACGGTCCGTGGTGGAGACGCTGGCGCCGCTGTTTCTGGTGAAGATGCTTCAGCGAGCGTTTCTGCAGCCAGCGGCTTCTCCTTCAACTTTGAGGTATATAATAATCTAGAATCTATAATATGACCCTCCAGCACCATCGAAGTGGATGGCATGGCCCCTTGGATGACCACTTTCCTTTACAAACGGGTTCTTTTCCACTTCCATGTTTGGAGGAAGGGCAACAAAATAAAAACCACAGCAACACGACAGAGATCCAGAGTTCTGAGGACGTGTTTGTGCAAACCTGGATTTGATTCAACCAGTTTTGGCAAGTGAGAGCGGAAACAGCAGGGTCCATCAAGCTCAGCTGTGGACACAATCCTCCCCCAACATGGTGGGCCTTCCTATGCGGAAGGGACATGATTTCGGCGCCCGGCGCCCACCGGAATGCTTTGGACAGACCCTCAAGTCAAAAGAGCGCAGTTTCGGAGTTTCTCGCTCCAGGAGTCAAAATCACTGGAATAAGATTTGGCAGATGGACCGATATTCCAACATCATCCAACATCTTCATTCCTGGACCACCCAGTGGTACTGAATTATCAATCAATTGTTCAATGTGTTGAAATTTTATGGTGCAACCAGTTTCCTGCTCCTTAATTCCGTTCAGGTTGGTGTCGTTACTGCACTGCGATGGCCAACCCTTCCATTCATGGCTTGGACGGAATTGACTGAAGGTCCTCTCAGTGTACCCCTCGAAACGGCCCGAACCGAACGAGGTCATCGTGTTGTTCCTTTGGAAGCTCTCAACGGAGGCGACGATCAAGCTCTGGGAGGGGGGTGCTTTGTGGCAGAATCTGCCCAACGCTTGGAAGACGGTGTAAGATTCATGTTCGTTGTTGTGAATATATAAAACTTATAAAACCAATGAATTTTGTCAAGTTTGGTGAAAAAGGTGAAAACTACTCCTTTGCTCAGTCAATTTTGACCAAGAACCACGGTAAACAGCTCCCATGCTAGAACTTTGGCATACTTGGGACGCGGACAAAATTGATCATACATTATAGTTATAATACTATTGGATGTCATATGTTAGATATTGTTAGATTATGGCTGGTGCTCACTGGTGCTCCTTTGTGTGTCCATGCCCGACTGGAGCTCAACTGGCCGGTTTTGAAGATCACGATCGACTCTGAATCGATGCAGATGGTTATGAACTCAAGTCAAAGACCAGGACCAGTTGTCATTATCACCATTCATACACCAGCCCCCCCTGGAACTGGGATTATTTTTGATTGCAACCCATCATGGGTGGGGCCGTGGGCGGGGTTGTTCATCCACGTTCACTTACCACACATCACCACGGAACCGCACACCAAAACCCCTATTTCAAGCCACACGTCACCAAGGCCCCCCCCCGGTGGGTCATGACAAACTCGCCCGTTGCGTCGTCGTGCATTTTCTCGTGCACGCGGCGTTGGGCGTTTTGACCACGACCAACGGCGAAGGTGAACGGTGAGCTCCATGTCTTCCCCTTGGCCTTCCTAGGCGAGTTCCGACCGACCGAGGTTTACGTGCGCCGAGTGACCGCTCCGAGTGACCGCGCCGAGTGACCGCGCCGAGTGACTGAGTGAACGGCGAACCCGTGCGGCGGTCCCAGTTTCGGTGTTCCTGGGCGTTGGAGGACAGTCGTTGCCTTGACAAGCTGCATCATATTGTACGTACGAATAGGTTGAGACCTGTGGAGTATTGGAATATATTGGAATAGAGGTGCGGTTGAAACATGCGTCACCCAGGATATTTATCAGCACCACAATGGCTTTCTGAGTTGGCCTGTTGTATAACGTTTACCGCATGAAAGTGATGAAGTTATATGAAATCCAATTGATGTGGCACCATCCACTTATATATTTTGCAGTCGTCTTTTTTAGTTTGATTCGTTGTTTGCCTACTGGTACCCGTGACCCCGGCCTTGACTACTCTCCCCGCATGCTGGGACCCTTCAGGTATTCGACGCTGGAGGATTTGCACGAGCAAACGCTTGGACCGCGGATCGCAAGCGAGTTTACTGGTGACGCTCGCGGAGGTGGTGATCGTTTGGAGCCCCCTGGTGCCGTCGCTTGGTAGGTGTCGTGAGCGCGAACTCAGCGATGCAAGAAAGGAAACTGTTCGTACAAGTGACTGAAGTGAACTGATATATGGCCCATAATTATGGCATAATATGGCATCACCACAATGCATCATATACAGTATAAGCATTGTATGACGATAGGCTTTGTTTTGTTTGCATGTTTTCAGGCTCTTGTGACTCTTGTGGAGCTTTCTTTGCCCTTGGGTCACGGCATTGCTCCCATTGAAAGTAGAAAAAGAACCGTTGACTTGCGCACATTCTTCTGGAGATCATGCCGTCGTCCCCAAGGTTCATGCATTTTCTACCCTAAGAATCTGTTCGACCCTGCATGGACCCGGGCTTGGACCCTCCACACCCTCAAAGCCTCTTCCATTTCTTCGGCCTCAAAAACGCCTGCGAAAAGGAGGCAATGTCAATGACCCGAAGCTCACTGGGTCTATTTGGGTCTTTGGGTTGGTTTATTTGGTTCTTTGTTTTGCCAGCATCGCTCCGCAAGCAGTTTTGGTTTCTGGAAAGGCTATTGCTGCCAGCCGCTGGCATGGCGGCAAGCACCAATTTGCTTTTGGTCCAGCTTGGCCGCCGGCATTTCCATGCCGTGGTGCCTAGTCTGGATGGCGAGACTGCCAGCATGTCTCGAAAGTACCTGCAGGCCAGCGTTGGCATTTTGCTGATCTTTTAGCCACTTGGCGTGGATCCTTTTGAGCAAGGTAGGAAACCGGTTTATGTGGCTGAAGCCTTCAATTTCCACAGCTGGCAGATGCTTCAAACGGGCACTTGTATCCAAAAAATCCGGCCACCTGATTTAAACGCTACTGGTTTGGAAACGCATATCCCACCTGATGTGCTGAGAAAGGTGGAACTTCACAAGTGCCCTGGAGGAAGCGCGTCTTCCGGAGCCTTGCACCAACGTTGCCTTTTTTGACTTTCCTTTGGGAAAGCACAAGCAACCTATTAAACAAGTGTTAACAAGGTGTGACACAAGGCATGCAGCTACACTACACCAACCTTTCTTTGGCATTGCGCAGGTCCGACGCGGACCCCCTGAGCATCGCCTCTTCCCTTTGCCACGTTGATTTGTATGCGACATTTCTATCAGAGGGCAAGAATGCATAATGTCCATCCCACAAGAATCCTTAATTAAATCCCACCTCTTCCACTGAGTTTTCAGCACATGTATTTTTCACATCCCTATACCTCCCTTTCTTCGTACAGCAATCGCTTCAACACCCAAGCACAGACCGAGGCTTTGGTTTGCTTTCACTGCTTTGGCGAGCATGGCTCGTTCCTTGTTGCTTTTGACCTTTGTGCTTTTCCTTTGCGAAGCCAATCGCCTCCTCCCACGGCCTGTGCCGGCGGCGCGTGACAACGAGGCGGCGGCGGGCGCGTGACGCCGCGTTCCCGAGCGACGCTGTGGGCGACGCCGGGGGGCGTCACTTCGGAAGGCGTGGGTCAGGTCCGTCACGAAGGTCGGCCAGACAGGTCACTCTAAGCATTTTGGAGGACTCAGTGGAGAACACGGCCTTGGAGACGAGTGGGCAGGAGGAGAGCAGTGGGTTGGTATTTGGCTTGAGGTTCCATTTAATATGTCCATTTCAACATGCCAGTAAATATGTGCGGCGTTGTGTGGCAAGAATTTCAATCCTCAACATTGAATGATAGCCGTGAACCGTAGCCGCTGCTGAGCAGCAAGGTGGATCAAGCTGTTGAGATGATGTGGCGGTGAGCCGAGTGCTTCTCGGCCGAGCGTCAACGTGCTCGCATCAGAAAGAGCGAGAGCGGCGCGGCTCGGGAGCGCTGTCGGTGGATCACATGGGGGATGCTGAGGAGGTGTTTGAAAATTCTTAAAGTTGGTCAAAAGTTTAAGATCATGATAATATGTTTCATAATTATATAAACATTTAACATTTAAAGCAGAAAGAATCTGGCATCTGAATCTGGACTTGATGGGCGCTTTTGGGGACCCTGGAAAAGGTGAATTGAACTGGAAAAGGATCGTCTCCGACGCGACATGCATATCTGCACCCGCCCGGAAGGGGTTTGGTGACACCGGTTTGCTTCTATCCGGTCCATAGCTGCGGTGGAGGAGTACCCTGCAGGTTGGGGGCACTGGATTTGATGGGAGTTGATCATGTTTAAAACACTACTCAAGGAGGCAAAGACCAGGTTTAACTTAACTGTTTTTTTTGATTTGCATATTGAGTAAGGTCTGTGGACCTGGCCAACCAATGGCCACACCGTTTAAGAAGCAGTGTGGTTCTGACCAAATCGGTCATGTCATTCGCAGCCGCTGCGAAGTAGCTGCAGGCTCAAAGACCAAAGTCACTACCGGTCACTACTTACCGAAGACAGGGCACTGACTTTCAATGTATCTTACCTCCGTACCTTGTACCTTCCTCAACAGTGAGCCTATGTCTCACCAATTTTCCACCACAGCAGTGGAAAGCTGCGCCTATTGCAAGGTTCCACCCAGTGTGTTGTACCGTCGAGCAGGTAGAAGAGCACAAGAGGGCAGCAGAAGCGCAACAGTCAGTGATGATGTCCTGTTCTCAGTGTCTTCAGGAGCAAGGCTGCATCTCACAAATTGCACAGCAGCCTAGGGGCCTGCACTGAAAGAATCCCCCAGTTCCACCGCCTTTTCACCTCGAAAAAGAAGGCGCAGCATGGCCTTCCGAACTCCGAACGGCGCAGAAAGATCTCTCCCCAGCTCTGAGTTCCGTCAATGCCACCAGCGCGACTGTGTGTTTGCAATTACTTTCTAGCGCCATATATTTTTCACAGCACAAAATTCAAGGTTTCCTGGAAACCTGACCGTTTGCCTCACGGGGCAGTGTAACTGATCCTTCGTGTGGCAACCCCTTGAGCGCTGCCATGAAAGCTTTGTGCGGCGCTGCCATGTACGTCAGCACTCTGCGGGGGAGTTCCGCCACGCCCTTGCCTTTCCGGGAGACCCGAATTCGGGGTCGACGCGGTGCTGGAGGCGTTCAACGGTAGTTCCAGACAGTTCCTTCTCATTTCTTAGTCAAGAATGATTCAAGTTGGAAGGCTTTTGGATAAATCTCCGAGATCTGATGGGACGATCCCTTCCCTTTGATCTGAACCAAGCCTCGGGGTTTGGTCTTCGCCACTCGGGCTCAAGGCCGGGCTGGGTGCCGATCCTCGCCACAAATCCACCCAGTATAGCTTCTTGTTTCTAGCGATAGCCTCCAACCTAATTAATAGCGATGGCCTCCAACCTAATAGCGATGGTGTCCAACTACTAGCTGATCTTGCTAGTAACTTCTTGCTCCGTGGCCCCTGGATCTCAGGAGCAGAAGGTGTTGCAAGAGCTTTTTCCGCTCGCGGACGGCCACACAGTTCCTTTGGGAGAAGCGCAACATGCGTTCAGGTGACGTGTTTTTGCTATTTTCTGGGGCCAAAAAGCGTTGCACTTGTTGTGAAGTATTCAGTTCTTTGGTGTGAACCAGCCACCACCGGCACGCTCCCGGGCTCCGAAGCTGCCGGGGCTCCAAGGATTTCTGCCACACCCCGCATGTCACGTGCGCGGAGGGCCACGTGATCCGGCTGGAGTGCTCCAGATGCGGTTGGCAGCGGCTACCGCAGGCGATCGGAGACTTGAGGTCTTTGGCGCGTTTTGGGCTGCAAGCAGGGCAGAGCGAGATTTGGACGGTGGGACGGTGTTGATGAGGGGCATTGGTGGACGCTTGTGGGGTCTCTAGGTCACACCAGGTCATTTGCAGGAGGTTGATAGACATCATGAGACCACTGACTTGCTTAATTAGTGATCAGATGATGATTGCTTATGATAGATCGAGATAGATTCGTGCCCTTCGGTTTCCTCAACAAAGGGGCTATCATGACCCATCCTGCTGGCGTTTTCATGCCAGTATGTGACTTGTTACCGAAGTGGAACATATGTTCCTGAACAGGGGTGGATTCCACTTCCATGTGATGTGTGAGTGCCACGGAGTCTATGCGGGTTCTGGTGGAACACACCGGGTGGACCCCAACGCCATGTGAAAGCTCCAACGTCATCGTCCAACAACCACAGGCACTCGCGAAGTGATAGGGCCTGTCCAGGGTCCGACCGAGTCTGACCAGTCTGAGGTACTGAAAAGAGAGTGTTTCACAGACTTCACTGGGTTCCCCAGTGCGTGATGAAACCCAGCTCGACGCAGCTCGCCTCGTCCAGGAAACTCCAATTGGACGGCAACAACTTGAGTTCATTGCCTGAGTCCTTGGGCCACTTGCTGAACTTGCGGCTCCTTGGCCAGCCGAAGGTTCCCGAAGCTTTCGGAGGTTTCGCTCGTCTGAAGAACGATTTCGGAGTGGTTCTGGCGGCGGTATGTGATGGTCGGTTGTAGCAACAGGTGCTTTCAAGGGCATGGGTATAAAAAAAAACACTTATTGTTCGAATCGACAATAATAAAACAATAATTATTGTTCGAATCGACAACGAATCGACATAGCAGGATCAAACACAAATCAATATCACAGAAAGAAAGGAAGGTATTACTGGACCCATCACCAATCTAGCGGGCGCAGTGTCATTCCAATGCAGGTATACCCGGCATACCCTCTTTGAGCCACCCTACAGCTACAGCAAGTACTTTTGGATCACCCTGGGGATGATATTTGGTTGATTCCCTCATATGATTGTTTGATCCCTTGGCCCTTTAAGGCTTGGTCGTTCCGAACGGATGTGACGTGAGTTTAGCTGTTACCCAGCATCAGCCTTCGACGCGAACATCGCAAGCAGCCCGATCGTCATCCGAACGTCAGCCGACAAACACACCTGTCAAGAGACCCCTGTCAGTGTCTACAGTGACAGGTCTAGTCAGTCTAGTGTGACCACACGGTTTGGGAGAAAACACAGACTGGCCGCCTCGGCTTCGGCAGCCGCTGCGAGCGTCCAAGCACCGGAGCGCAGCGACGGAGTCTTAAGGCATTTGGACTTGCGCGGCAACCAGTTAAGCGCTTTGCCGGAGTCTGCGGGCAGCTTGCAGAGCTTACAGCCCCTCGCCGTTTTCGTGCAGCTACAGATGGAAGAAAAACAAAAAGAGTTTCTTTCGTTCCACCGAAAAAGTTATACTGTAGATGTTATAGGTCAGCCACACCTGTCATACCCTAGGTCATCGATTGTTCAATACACCTCCCCGTGAAATCAGCACTTGATGCTATGGGCCATCATGGGCCTGTTGCATTTGTGACGAGACACTCAATACAGACACACACTCTGGGAACCCTCTTCAATTTTGTGAGGCACCCCCCAGCCCGGAACTTGAGCTCGGTTGGTTCAGTGGGTGGGCAATGAATGTAAAGTACTTCCAATGGGTGCCCTGTTTGGACTGGAGACCCATAAGTGGCGTAGGGTTGTCAATTGGTGACCCGTTGGAAGCAGCTGGTAGGATCCATGTACACTCAGTTCGATTCCCCAGAAAACTACCTAAATATTGTCCACACTCCAAGCAGACGGATGATGTTGATGATGTGATGTGGCATAGATGATGATGTTGCCGCACATGCGTCAATTTTCAATGCCGCACATGTTTCCATGAGGTATTTGTGCTTGAGCGGGAACAAGATCACCGCTTTGCCAGACTCCTTGGGCAATTTGCAGCACTTACAGCGCTTCAGCTGCAGACTGGGACCGGAGCTGGGTCCAAAGCACATAGGGCGTAGATACATGTAGATACCATCATCAAGCCCGTCTTCTCATCCGTGCTGTTCACAGTTATTCAGCTCCAGTTCTGCATCAAAACCTAAAGGAGCTCCATTCCGCAGTGCTGGGCAGTCCTCCCATTCTGTCGGTGGGATGTTGTGAGTGTTCAGACATACCAGGGCATACTCTAGAGGTTCCAAAGGAAGAAAGCAGGTGCTCATGAACCACTCACTTGGTGTCAAAAAGCTATATCTTTGTAACTCCTGGTGGAATATGATTCAGACAAATGTTGTGACAAATTGGCCAGTCACATCGCCAATGAGACAGATGTTGGTTTTTTTTTGTGTTTCCATCTTTTGCATCCTGGCCATGTTGTACGTCCGGTTGGATTTCGTATGATTTCGTCACACCTTGACCCACCGTTGCTGGTCCGGTGGCAATGTCACCTTGAATGAGTGAGCAAAAAACTCCACACATAGCGCATGTGTCGAAGCACACTCATGTGCACCATGGCTCGCATCATGGATTGCATACCTTCCAATTCTCACTTGCGAGCTTTCGAGAGTTGCCGATATGACCCCAAAAGACGCATGTGTTGAACGAACAAGCGCGCGACTATGGTCATTCATACTGAGGGAACTCTACTTGAACAACAACGAATTACAGTAAGCTCCAGGCAGTCCACATCCGGGGGTTCTGGTCGCGCAGTATGCAAAAAATCCCGGCGAAGCCTGGCTGGAGGCTATAGTTTCAATAGGCAAGACAATCCACATGCACAGATAGTCTCGGGGCTACGTTGACATACTCCCCACCAAGGCATTCTCAGACCGTTTGCTGGGTGACTTTCCCACAAAGTGGACTAGTGATCGGCTCTCCATACTTGCGCGAGAGCACGATGTCCCCGCGCATCTTTCTTGCAGCCGTGGCCGACATTGTTCCAGGCATCGCACGAAGTCGCCAGGTCTAAGAGGGCCTTTGCGACTGAGGCAGCTTCGATTGATCAACAACACCATCAGTGTTTTGCCAGATTCCTTGGGCAAGCTACAGCATTTACAGCTCCCTGGCCCAGACGCGCGGAGCGAGGAGCGAGGAGCGAGCAGAACTGGTAGAAGCAAGGTTGTTTTGTAGGATCTTTTGGAAGGACAGTGACATTGTGGAACGAACCCACCTTGAGAGCAGTTTGGCCCTTCAAAATGGCCTGAAGGAGCAGCACTTTGTGCAGCGAAGGGTAGAATCGGAATTTGCATGTCATATAGGCCAAGCAGCCACCTGATGCATCTAACTATAGGCCCACAGACTCCATTCTGCCAAGCGTGATGTCACCCCTGTTCTTCATTGTTTGGCTTTGCCTAGGATGATGTGTTATTCTGATTCTCCCTATGGGTGAATCCATGTGAATCCCCTTGGTTTGGAAAAGATGGTTCTAGATGGTTGACCTTTCCGTCGCGTTGATCACCAGGTAGACCTTTGGACGTTAGACCTTCCTTTCTTCCTTTCTGTTCTATTTACATCCAAATTATGACATTCGAGGTGCGTGATGAGAGATGAATCACATGATCCAGTAGACCATAGTAGACCCCAATATGATATATATGTGCAATGACAATGAATTGTCAAAAAACGCCCAGTTGGAACAGACACATGAGCTCCGTCAGACTTGGTCACCTCCAGCACTTCAGGGAACTCTCCTTGGGCTTCAACGAACTCAGCTCTTTGCCTGAGTCCTTGTGCAACTTGAAAAGCTTAAGGCTGCTCGGCATCGAAAGAGGCTGTCAGCCTTTGCACCCTGAAGACATTTGGACCTGAAAGAGTCCTCGAACACCGTGTATCCTAGAGCGCCAAAAAACGGATCAGTGAACCGCTGCGCCCAGAGCTGGGAGGAGTAAAAGCCATGCTCAGAAAGGCTCCGACGGTTTCTGCGGCGCTTTGCGATTTCAGAACGAAGCAGCAGTTAACACACGATGCTTTGCTCAAATTTCCTACTCCTGTGTGACTCGCGTTTTGTTAATCACCATAGTAAATGTTATTGATCCCCTCAGGATGATATTTGGTTGATTCCCTCATATTATTGTTTGATCCCTTGGCCGGTTAAGGCTTGGTCGTTCCGAACGGATGTGAAGGGAGTTTAGCTGTTACCCAGCATCAGCCTTCGACGCGAACAACGCAAGCAGCCAACACATTTCCGAACGTCAGCCGACAAACACACCTGTCAAGAGACCCCTGTCAGTGTCTACAGTGACAGGTCTAGTCGGTCTAGTGTGACCACACGGTTTGGGAGAAAACACAGACTGGCCGCCTCGCTTAAGGCATTTGGACTTGCGCGGCAACCAGTTAAGCGCTTTGCCGGAGTCTGCGGGCAGCTTGCAGAGCTTACAGCCCCTCGCCGTTTTCGTGCAGCTACAGATGGAAGAAAAACAAAAAGAGTTTCTTTCGTTCCATCGAAAAAGTTATAGATGTTATAGGTCAGCATGCCATACGCACCGGTCATACCCTAGGTCATCCATTGTTCAATACACCTCTGTGTGAAATCAGCACTTGATGCTATGGGCCATCATGGGCTTGTTGCATTTGTAACGAGACACTCGATAGAGACACACACTCTGGGAACCCTCTTCAATTTTGTGAGGCACCCCCCAGCCCGGAACTTGAGCTCGGTTGGTTCAGCGGGTGGGCAATGAATGTAAAGTACGTAGCACTTCGAATGGGTGCCCTGTTTGGAGACCTATAAGTGGTGTAGGGTTGTCAATTGGTGATCCGTTGGAAGCAGCTGGTAGGATCCATGTACACTCAGTTCGATTCCCCCAGAAAACTACCTATTGTCCACACTCCAAGCAGACTGAACAGAATTGGCGTGGCATAGATGATGATGATCGCCATTTTCTTGGAGGAGATTCTGCTGATGCAGTGTTACAGCGGAATGGAATGCACATTTGGACTTTTGAGTCCCAGGAGCTTCTACATGCCGCACATGTGTCAGTTTCAATGCCGCACATGTTTCCATGAGGTATTTGTACTTGATCGGGAACAAGATCACCGCTTTGCCAGACTCCTTGGGGAATTTGCAGCACTTACAGCGCTTCAGCTGGAGACTGGGAGCTGGGTCCAAAGCACATAGGGTAGATACATGTAGATACCATCATCAAGCCCGTCTTCTCATCCGTGCTGTTCACAGTTAATGATCAGCTCCAGTTCTGCATCAAAACCTAAGGGAGCTCCATTCCGCAGTGCTGGGCAGTCCTCCCATTCTGTCGGTGGGATGTTGTGAGTGTTCAGACATACCAGGGCATACTCTAGAGGGTCCAAAGGAAGAAAGCAGGTGCTCATGAACCACTCACTTGGCGTCAAAAAGCTATCTCTTTGTAACTCCTGGTAGAATATGATTCAGACAAATGTTGTGACAAATTAGCCAGTCACATCGCCAATGTTGGGTTCTTGTGTGTTTCCATCTTTTGCATCCTGGCCATGCTGCACGTCCGGTTGGATTTCGTACGATTTCGTCACACCTCGACCCACCATTGCTCGTCCGGTGGCAATGTCACCTTGAATGAGTGAGCAAAAAGCTCCACACATAGCGCATGTGTCGAAGCACACTCATGTGCACCATTGCTTGCATCATGGATTGCATACCTTCCAATTCTCACTTGCGAGCTTTCAAGAGTTGCCGATATGACCAAAAAACGCATGTGTTGAACGAACAAGCGCGCGACCATGGTCATTCATACTGAGGGAACTCTACTTGAACAACAACGAGTTAAGCTCCCTGTCGAAGTCCTTGGGCAGATTGCAGTCTTTGCAGTTCCCCGGCCGCAAAAAAGGTTGCGGCAGAAAAACAAGTAAATTGGACGGGTGCGTCCTGTGACCAAACATTTGACCAAACATGCGAAAGATCTAGCCTTTTTCCCCAAGCAAAGTGGAAGTTTCCCAGAACTTGTTTTGTTTATCACCGCAATGAGTTCCGTTGCTGCCTTTCTGGATACACATCATTTGCCGATCTATCTGTTTTTTGCGAACACCGTCATTCACCTGGGACGGCTCCGTCTCGCCGTCGATTCAGTCCTATCCCGACTTTCCGAATACACCATCCTTGGGCTTCCACTTAGGCGCTAGGCTTTGGAAGTTCCACACTGTTCATTGGCTGAGCATGGCCCGAGTTCTCTGGGTGAAGCCGCTCATGGACTTCGGGCCCAGAGCAGTGACGACCTGACCAAGACTCGGACCCGTACTCCGAATCGGAGTGTGGCATGGTGGACTGATAGCGTTGTAAGGGAAAATCCGATGTGTTCTCTTTAAGAAAAAGGACCTTGGCAACCAGGACCTTAACCAAATGAAACTATAGGTCCTTGTCATTTGATATTGGTCATATTTGTCATGTGTAGTAAGCGTTCTCCGTACTCGGTCCAACTGAGTAACTGTGTTCCCCGCACGTAAGAAGCACGGCACGTGCAATGCTTTCACCCACAGACTTGTTCGATTGGAATGAAGGGGTGGCAGACTAGTGTGATCATCCATGTTCTCCATATATGAGGTACATCATGCGGTACATCATTGCCTCCAGGGGCTAGTTTCAGCGGCTTGCGTCAGCATTCTCAGCATGTGATCGAATTCAGGCAGCTCTATTTGAGCCACAACCGATTAAGCTCTTTGCCAGAGTCATTGGGCAACTTGCAGAGCTTGCAGCACCTTAGCTGGACTTGGCTTCCACTGTGGGGTGACTAGGACCGGGGGAAAGTGCGGGAAAGGGAGCACAAGCAAGTCGGCCACTACATGGTGAGGATGATTGAGGAAGCAACCTGGTATTATCAAAGATACCAAGGATGAAGCGGAACTGGCCAGGGTGTTGCTCAAACTCCACGAAAATCGTGATTGTTTTGAGGAGGGGCAGCATTTTGACACATCCATCGGTAAGACCGCCACCGACGGCCCTACGTCACCATGCGACGGCCCTGCTGATGGGGCCGTCGATTGGCTGCACCGTCAACTCCTTGTGGACCTCACAGGCAGTCCGCATCCAGGGGTTCTGGCACAGGTCGCGAAGTACGCAAAGAATCCCGGCGAAGCCTGGCTGGAGGCTATAGTTTCAATAGCCAAGACAATCCACAGATAGTCTCGGGGCTGCGTTGGCTTAGAAATACTCCCCCGCCAAGGCTGGGTGACTTTCCTACAAAGTGGACCAGCGATCGGTTACTTTGTTCCAGTCATCCATGATGTCCCCGCGCATCTTCCTTGCAGCCCATCAGAGTCTTTATCCCAAAGCCAAGCCTGGGTTTCTCCTGGTTGAGAATGTGAGGGCGCATTTCCCTGTTGGGCCCACGACGTGGCCGACCTTGTTCCAGAGGTCGCCAGGTCAGGTCGGTCGCAAAAGGGCAACTGAGGCAGCTTCGATTGTTCAACAACACCATCAGCTTTTTGCCACATTCCTTGGGCCAGCTACAGCATTTACAGCTCCCTGGCCCAGAAGCGAGGAGCGAGGCACGAGGAACAAGCGGGCAGAACTGGTGGTCGCTGGACAAAACTGAGAAAGGGTAGAACTTGTGGTCTATTTCGTGCTGAGGGCGTCGGTAGAAGCAAGGTTGTTAGGATTTTTTTATGGAAGTACATGATTGTGGAAGGAGCTCACCTTCAGAGCAGCACTTGCTGCAGAGCGAATTTGCATGTCGTCTAGGCCAAGCAGCCACCTGATGCATCTAACTATAGGCCCACAGACTCCATTCTGCCACAAGCGTGATGTCAACCCTTGTTCTTCATTGTTTGGCTTTGCCTAGGGCCTAGTATGATGTGTTACTCTGATTCTCCCTATGGGTGAATCCATGCGAATTCCCTTGTTTTGGGAAAGATGGTTGTAGATGGTTGACCTTTCCCTTGTGTTGATCACCAGGTAGACCTTTGGACGTTAGACCTTCCTTTCTTCCTTTCTGTTCTATTTACATCCAATGACATTCGAGGTGCGTCATGGGAGATGTCACATGATCCAGTAGACCATAGTAGACCCCAATATGATATGTGTTTGTTGAGACAGACATATGAGCTCCGTCAGACTTGGTCACCTCCAACTTTGCTCACCACACTTCAGGGATCTCTACTTGGGCTTCAACGAACTCAGCTCTTTGCCTGAGTCCTTGTGCAACTTGAAAAGCTTAAAGCCGCTCGGCATCGAAAGAAGCTGGGTGCCTTAATATCTGAAAGAGTCACCCACGGATTTCCTCGAAAACCGTGTATCCTAGAGCGCCAAAACATGGATCAGTGAACCGCTGCGCCAAAACCTAGAGTAAGAACATGCTCAGAAAGGCTCCGACAGTTTCTGCGGCGCTTTGCGATTTCAGAACGAAGCAGCAGTTAACACACGATGCTTTGCTCAAACTTCCTACTCCTGTGTGACTCGCGTTTTTGGTGAACCAAGTAAGTGTGAGGTATTTGTACTTGAAGAACAACAAGCTAACCTTTTTGCCGGAGTCGTTGGGCAGCTTGGAGAGCCTCAGGCCACCCGACTGCTTTGCTGCTTTGATTTCTGACAACAGACCATGAGGACTCGGACACAACCGGGGTGACAGTCACCTCAAGGATCATGCCTTTCGCATCCTTTCACCCTATCGCCTTTCGCTTGTTCGGTCGTACTTTTGCATGGAATAAGAAGATATGAAAAGCCTCCGGCCTGCGGGTCGGAACTTGACAGTACTTGACAGGAGGAATTCACCTTGACCTATGGACCAGCCACGTTGCTTTCTGTGCCGACAATGTCCATGCTGCCGTTCCCTGCAGCTATTTGTTTTGTTTCTTGGATTGCCGCAACTTGGTTTGATCCGAATCTTTCAAATCCGCAGTGTTCTCTCTGGGCAGTTTGCCAGGTGGTTGGACCTCAGCAATAACATGATCAGCGTTTTGCCAGAGTCCGTGGGCAACCTGCAGCAGTTGCAGTTCCTTGGGACGGCTCGAACTTCAGGACCGAGCGGAGAAGACCGGGTGGGATGTGAAGGAATTGACGAGAAGAGGGGTTTGGAAGATCATATATATATATATTATTGCATATCACCTTGATTCTAGCTGAAAGCTGAAATGAAATGAGTATGTTTTGCATCAGAGTGGTCATGTTATAAGGCTATATTCTGAGATTTTCAGATGATGTTTCAACATAACGACGGCATGTTCAATCTATATTGAAATATGTTAGTCCGATCTAGCCGCTCAATGCTGACTGCATCAAATTTAAAAACATCTGGTGGACGAAAGACTTTGAGCAGAATTCAATGCTGATCTTGGACGGGTCAATTTATAGAGAATCAACTGAATTGAGGAATGCGCTGATAAGCTCATGCTATTAAGACAAACAGTTTGGCAGCTTACATGATACGACAGTTTCTGCTAGACACGGTCACCACACACAATGAAGATGTGCATTCTGCCAGGCTGCAGGGTAAGATTTTGACTCTGAATTTGAGCGTAAACGACTTTGAGCCATGCAAAAGTGTGTGCCAATCCTGAACACGTCATTTTACAGTGGTTTCAAAGTAGATGGCACAGACCGAAACCGATGTCCTTTCAATGCGGGGTTCATATAAACCACCTCTTGGGGTTTGTGCCATTGGTCCTCTCAATCCACTATATATAAACTATGTGTGCTTCTTGAACAGGTCGATTTATATAAGTCCATGTTTCTCATCCTTTGGGCCTTTGTTTTTGTTTTTTTCATTGTATAAACAAATATGTGACATTCAATCAAGCCACATATTGTGGGATCCTGACCCGGTCATTTTATATGGGTGTTTCATTGTATTTAAAAAAAACAATTAAAAACTTAGTAAATCATTTTATAGATACCTATTTATTGTTTATAAACTAGTTTGCCGCAGAAAAAGCTACAATCAAGATCAATCAAGTGTATTTGCATGATATTGCATGTATTGCCTGATCATTGGCACATTATATATATATTATATATATTTGCATTGGGTTTTGCAAGCTTCGGTCCCCTTTTGCCCATGCCCTCATGATCAAAGCCCGCTTTGTTTGCTGTGATGAGGCTTTTTTGGCGCTATAAACAACACCTTGAGCTCTTTGCCAGAGTCTTTGGGCAACTTGCAAAGCTGGCCCCTCGACTGCCTTTTTGGTTTTCTGCAATTCAGCTGGGTGGGGAGAAGGAGTCAGCTGGGGGGAAGGAGAGGGAAACTGGGAACTTTGTCTCCCTACAGTTGCAGGGGAGGCTGAGTGTAGATACCTTCTACTCAGCAAGCCCTTTGGCACGAGTTTCCAGCTCATATACATATATAAAGAGTTCTAAAGACAGAGGGTCAGAGTGGAAAAAGGTGTGGAGACTCTGTCACAAGTGCTGGGGGATTGTTGTTTGATCTTGATCGTGCTGATGAATTGAGACATACTCCATACTCAAACGAGTTTTTTGGCGTTGTGAAAAACATAAGCCTCTTGACCCTTAGGCTAGGCATAGCATAGCAATTTGACATGCCAACGATGCAGTTCTTCTGTGTGTTGCGTTTCTGTGGCAATTCGCTGTGCGACCCATGACTTGACCAACCCAAACAGATCACCAGGCGAGAAAGAACCCGTTTCCCGACCGTTTCCCGACCGCTTCCCGTCGAAGCCGCGTCGCCACAAGCCTCGAAGCACTTTGGGAGGGCAAACAGCTGCCTGGATGGCCCGCAACAGGGTTGGAATCGCCAAACTGCTCCGATTCGGAAGCTGCGTACTCCGCGTCCGGCTGCGTCCCACACGGAAGCCCCTACTCTACTCCGCGCTACAAGATGCTATATAAGGGATTAGTAGTCGTGTTTATGTCCTTGATTGGGGAACTGTAGCCAGCTTGCTCGCGGAAGGATGCTACTGAGATGTTTACTTTCGCTTGGGATGGAGGTATATGTTCTTCAACAACAACAAGATCAGCCTTGTGCCTGAGTCCTTGGGCCAGGTGCGAAGCTTGGTGCCCCTCGGTTGAGAGACGTTCCGAGGCATGGCCGAGACACGATTCCTTTCGTTGTGGAGAAGGCGTGTCCACAGAGCTTCATAAACTGCACTTAAATGTGTTTTTCCGGGGGGGTGCCCGGTCTCGCACTTTCTTTTCTTTTGAGGGGGGACGCAGAATCCTTCAAACCCAGTTGCCCATTGTGACCAGCCGTTTTTCATATTGTATTTTGTGCATGCGTGTTGTGAGAACTTGCTGAGGGCAGTGCAAAAAGATACCTTGCACAGCTGCATAGTTTTAGAAGGCAGTATTTAGAACCAAGCATGCAAACATGACTTTTTGTTGCACGAGCAAGGAACCTTGATTTGAGCAACAACATCTTGAGCTGGCTGCCAGAGTCTTTGGGTAACTTGCAGAGATTGCAGACTCTTGCTTGCCGAAGATCTAGCCGGAAGACTGGTTCAGCTTGATGGGACACAGGGAGCCGGGAGCGCTTAGGCTTTATGAAGGAAATCACCAAGCATCGCTACTGGGCCATTATCCAAACATGGAAATGGAAGGCTCAGCTGAACAAAACGTTTTAGATGGGTGTCGAGGGCGCTGGTAAGTTCCTTAGACCTTTACCATACTGGTCTATGACGTCAACGCTTGCGCCTCAGTTCAGCCTGTGAAATTGGCGTACAAGCGCCTCGTTTGGCCGAGCTTGGCCGCGTCCGATCTTGTTCTAAGTGCGAACAGGTTGCCATCAGCTACAACATTAAAAAATCTCCACACTTCATCGAAAGACGGTAGAAACAAAACACCGACCATGCCATGGAGCTGGTTTTAGGTATATAATGCTTTCAGTAATGCTTTCGTATGAAGTTACACACTTGACATATTATGTTCCAAGCACATCTCAGGCGATCGTGTTTGGCCTGCCACGGCTATATTCCATCTCCACGTTGATTGGACTCAACAGGGATTTGGTTGGCTTCTTCGGTCCCTCTTGTGATCTCCGCGGCTTCATCTCAGGGACCTCCGCTTGAGCAACAACCTTTTGAGCTCGCTCCCGGCTTCCATTGGCCACTTGCAGAGCTTAAAGCCACTTTGGCTGCATACGTACGGGAGCCCTTGGGCATCGGTACGTGTATCCCAAAAAGTATCGAAAGTATACCCACCGGACCGGCATGGAACAAGTGAGGACAGTCAGGACATGTAAGGACTCTTGAGGATACCATCAGGCCATCAGGCTCTTGTTTGTTTTGCCTCGTGCAAAACAGGCAGTGAGCAACCAAAGCTTTGTGTCTCCGGTCAGGGCCTCCAAACTGCTTGAGGCAACTGCGTTTGAGCCACAACCGCTTGAGCTTCTTGCCCGAGTCCGTGTGCAACCTGCAAACCTTGCAGCGCCTTGGGCGCCCCCAATAGCCCCCAAAAGACCCAGCTTGGAGTCGAAACGGGATCCCGGATTGGAAAGAGGGATTTGAAAGAAGTTGACCAGTTCCCTTCACGGATCTTCATAGACTTTGAAGGGTTGACCAGCTTTTGGCTCCTTCCCACAGCTTGCGCCAACGTCAGTTCACATCAGGCGACATATGGCGATTGTTCAAAGTGAATGATCGAACCTTTGAATCAACGCACTGTGGAATGTACAATTGGCCATGTTTAGGAAAGGCGCCATAGCGTTGTTTGTTCCTTGAGTGTTACTTGTACACTGACAAGTGCAATTTTCTAGATTGCGTCAACTCACCACGGACTGAAACGCGTTTGACAAACAGGTTTGATGGCTGATCAGGTTTGATTGTACGCCCCCGACGCCGCAGCATCCCCCCACCGACGTCGACTACCAGGGTGTTCTCCAACACGGCAAACACTCCTTGGGCAGTTCACATCATCATTCAGGGATCCAATGATATGTTATTGTGATGGGGTGAAACTGAGAAGACCTTTTGAAGCTCCGTATGGCTCCAAGCGTGCCATCTAGCCAGTGAGCAGGTTAGCGTCCCAGAATTGAGGCAACTGCATTTGAGCAGTAACAACTTGAGCTCCCTGCCAGAGTCCTTGGGCAACTTGCAGAGCTTGAAGCCGCTCGGCTAGTGGACTTGGCTCTGCGAGTCGCAATAGAAAGCGGTAGGGATCAAGCTCGAAAAGGTTTAAAACATATGTTTACAAGAGGCATGTGGTGGAAGACGCCCAGATTTTGGGAAAGTACCGTGCAGTTTTCAGCAGGGCTTTCTCCACTGTTGTGACTCTTGAGGAAGGGTCCTGCTGATTTGACGAGATGTGAAACTAAGGGGTAGCTAGGTGAACCGATGCAAACAGTTGTTGCATGCTTTAGCTTTATTTGTTTAGCTGATTCATCGCAGGTGAATTTTGATCAAAGAGTGAGGACGCAGTTTCGTCACGCGCGACATTGGCATACCTCCCAAATCTTTCCATCATTTCAGATATCGATGTTGGGATGCACGATTGAACAAAGAGAATCCTTGGTAGGTTCATTCACGCAAAGTTGGCAGGTTCATTCATTTGGCAGGTTTGATAGAGCAAGTTGGATGTGTATTGGAACTGGGAGACCTACCAGGAGCATCCATGAGTTGTGTTCGCTCTTCGCGAGGGCCTTTGGGTCTCCTGGACTTGGGGCACGCGCACGCTCGCGGACAGGTGCGGTGGCTTGGGGTGGGCTCATCCAACGGTTGGTGTCTTCAGGATAGGCGGTCAACGGCCCTGGACTGGGCACGGTTGGAGCAACATGTCAAGTGCTCCAACTAGCACGTGACCAGCTTTCACCAGCTACAACTGTTTCAAGCTTTCCGTGGCTCCGAGTGGCTGCGACAGGACACCCCGTGTTTCTACGCGAAACAACACCCATGCTCCGTTGCATTCATGGATATATTACTTACTTGCCTTTCATGTAGCTTTTGAAAGGAGTCAAACAGAAACTAAGGCAACTCGACTTACAAAACAACCAATTGGAAGCCTTTCCAGCGTCCTTTGGCCCGTCTTCTCGGCTGGAGACACTTGGGTCCGACAGAAACAAAGATTTGTTTGAGGGCTGAAAGTGGATATTTGGATGCTGAAGTGGAGAGACCAACACAAAGTGAGGAGACTGCATATGGATAGAGGGCGTGTTTTGCCGGGAGATATGAGAGGGCGTGTTTTGCCGTGGGACTGCTCATGGGTGTCATTTGTTGGGTGTTCTTCTCCACCTGCCAGGTGAGGGTTCTAAGGTGTTCTAAGATTTTATCAGAGCTCTTCTCCTTCCTCCTTCCTCCCTTCGGCTCCTCCTCACCACCTCAACAGCAAGTGCCAGATCGCAGCGGGCACTACCGGACCTCAACACACAGCACACAGCCACACAACATAACCACAAACACACAATACACACCACATAGCCACAATGCAGAAACACAAGACACAAACACAATCACAACCACACACACAACCACAAACACAATCACAGACACAAAATCACGAACACAAAAGTACAAACACACTGCAACCACAAACTCACAACAACAAACACACAATTGCAGACACGGAACCACAAACACACAACCACAAGCAAGATCGAAAGCCACAAAACCCACGACCATGGAATACCATGGAACATGCTCCTCACCATGGAGAAAAACACGTCATTGACATGGTGGGGATCACTGGAAGTACTTTTTGGCATTTGGTGTTGGTTCTCCTGGACTGCGGAGTTTCGGTGTTGTGTGTGGGTTGCTGATTTGCCATTTGTGACTTCATTGGTGAAAGACCTGGTCACAAAATAGGCACACACCTGCAAGATGCACCGCAAGAATTGTATAACGTACTGTATATTGAAGGCTCGAGAAACTCGAAAGTGTAATATTCATAAACACATAGTCACTTGTTTTCAGCTGACCAGACACCTTCTTTTCCTACAGTATTGGTTGTTTCAAGGCAAAGTCGTCAAAAGTCTTTGATGAATTAAGGAAGCTCGATCTGGCAAGCAACAAGTTAAGCTCGTTGCCGGACTCTGTTGGCCACCTGAGAAACTTGAGGCACCTCGGTTTGCTTTTGATTTTTGCATGAGAAGATGAACACAGCTGCAGGTACCTCCATTTGCAACACAACACCCTTACGTCATTCTTCAACACGTCCGAGAGGAATCTTCAGCTGAAAGTGTTGCTGTTGAATCACAACAAGATCAATATGGAGCTTTCAGCCTTCTGTGGCCTCAACTATATCACCACACTGTATTTGCACCACAACAAGCTCCGATGCCAGATTCCAGCCTCTATCGCGCAGTTAGAGGCCATCAAAGTGCTGACACTGCACAAGAATGCTTTGACGGGAAGCATTCCTCCGGAATTAGCGTCGTTGCCATCCTTGAAACTTCTCACTTTGCACGAGAACCGTCTCACCGGGGAAATTCCATCCACATTTGGCACCTCACCGCAGCTGTTGTTTCTCTCGGCCTTCGCCAACGACTTGGAGGGCCCCATTCCGGACATGAAACTGCGCAGTGGCTGCGTGGACGATGCATCCTTCCGATTTGAAGCCTTAGTCAAGCATTCATCCTTTTGCATGACAATTAGTTGTGATCAGCAGGTGGATCTTGAGGACTTTCAGCTCACAAGCAAAGAGCGGCGGGAAATCTTGGACGCTTGTTCCAATTTGTATGGACGTTGCAGTGGGGCACCTTCAAGGGGTCCAACCCTGTTGTTGCAGAGCAACCGTCTCTCGTGCCCTTTGCCATCCGACGTGTCCGAGGACACATCGAACGCAAACGCGTCCTCGAGTCTGCCACTGCGGTCATTGGTGATTGCAGGAAACATGCTCGGGAGCGACTGGGCGGACCTGCCTTGGTGGCTTTCCGACTCGGAAAAGCAGCCCTTCCTTTACATCTCTCCTTTCAAAGTGTTTGGCATCCGGACGTCAAGCATCCAAAGGCTTGTTGTTGGATCCCTATGTTTTGTTACTCTTTACTGTGTCAGCTTGAGAACGATGACCTCATGGAAGGATCACCTGCACAAATTCTTTGATCATCAGGATGACCATACGCAACTCACCCATGTGTTCCTGATCCAGAGGACGCTTTGGGGAGGGCCTATTGTGCTGATGCTGCTTCTTTGCTACGTTTGGCAGGGCTCTTACTACCAGTGTGGCCATCCATTTCTCAAAACCACCCTTGCCTACTTTGAGAGCAAGGGCTCTCTCAGTGGAGGGGGTCGCTTAGCAGAGCTTGGTCTAGCCGGCCTTTGGGCCATTTGGGTGGGCAGCTGCCTTTACTTGGTGGAATTGGTTCCGAAACCGCCCAGGGCCAAAGCAGTAAGAGTTGAGAGGCCTTCTGGAAGCATCTTCAACAAAGTGATGTGGTGGTTCTCTTGGATGGTGATTGTGGTATGTTTGTCATCGCCATCCTTGGGCTACGCCTTTGTGCAATCGCTGCCCAAACGGAACAAACTACAGGTCGTCAACACCTATTTTTTGAAAGCTGTGCACTATGGAGCTGCCCTCGTTATGCTCTTAATCGATCCTCAGAGCTGTTAGCCGGACATGCTCAGAGCTTGATGGAGAGGGGAGACTAGAGGGGAGATCTTGATAGGTGTGTGCATGTTCGTGGAGACTTGTAGGGGTATGTAGGGGTGAAACTACGCTTCATTCTGTTTCGGGGGGTTCACCAGAAGTCCTGTGTGAACCAACCCGGAGTTGCTCGCAAACGCTCGATGTGTGGAGAACCTCCAGGTCTTGAGATGTTTGTGGGTTATGTTGCGAAAGTCATTGCTTTGTGACGTATGCAATATGCTGCACATGACACATGTCAATGTCATGGCTTTTGAATTGAATGTGTTAGGTTCTGTGACCGAATCAGCAAACGAATTGAACATAATGGAACCATTTCCCAGACACACATCCTCTTGCGATTCGAGGACATGCTGATCACCCCGATGCTTGAGGTGGCACTTAGCTAACTTCTCTTGTGTTTGGTTCGTTTGGAATAAAGAATGCTGACTGAAATATGGGTTTGTAGTGTTTTCTAGGGAGATCCCATTCTGTTGAGTTTTGGCCTTCCCAGGGGTCTTGGAATATAGGGGTTTCCCTATTCCAAGAATTCCATTACACTCGACAACCACAGGCTTCAAGGATCCCTTCTTCACTTGTTAACCGATCTCACTAAGGAGATTGGCCATGCGTATGTCCCAGCGCTCCCAAATTCGACGCTCCATGCTCTTGATGGCTGCACGAACATGCACCATGTGGCTCAATGCCACTCTTTGCGCCATCTACATGAGTGAACACTGCATGCGCGGATGGACCACGTTTCTCGATCGCTAAGCGGTTGTCGCATATCGTCGCTAGAGTCCCTCTAAGCCTCTAAGCCACCTAAGGCGTTACTCTTATGTGTCTCACAGCTGGTCTTTGAACTTCTACTGAAGCTTTCACTGTGTATTTCTCTACCACCCTATATATATGTTGCAACAGTGCTTAGGTTCTGGACCATGTGCAGTCCGCAGTCAGATCTCTATCACACCTTCAAGGTTAGCCTTGGAAGTCATGAGCTGTTGGATCCCATCAAAGACTTGTGAGCCTTGGCCTGGTGGAACAGTTTGAAGATGTATCATACATCACGTACCTGTCCAACAGGTAGTCCATTGGACACCCCTTGGATGGTCTTGGTATACTATACAGATAACAATGAAGTTGCTGATGTCTGTAGCCCATTACAATTCTGCATTCCTTCTAAAACTCAAGCTCTCTCTCTCTCTCTCGAGTGCAGCCCTTCTCCCAAGGTGTCCAGAACAAGAACTGGTGGAAGACAGAGGAACCTTGGAAGATTTCGTTGGGGCGCGTAGTCTGGGCCGGCCCAGCCGCTGTTTCTTTGTTCGCTGTTTTGCTGTTTCTGGCAGGATGAGTCGATGGTTAGGTCATGACGTATTTTTGCGGGGCCGCATGCGGAGAAAGAAGGAACCGGACGCAAGCTCGTGGTTTTACTTGGATGGGGCGAAAGCCCGGAAATTGGGATTTGCTTCGATGTGGGTTTTCAGGGTGGGGCTTCTTGATCTCAAGATGATCAAGATGTTGAATGTTGCTGTTCCAGGCTGAATTTGTTGGTTGGCTGTTGGAAGGTTTGCTTCCAGTGTTTAAGTCGCAATGTCACATGGTGACATGGTGACTTTGATGAGTGTGACGTGGTCATGTCAAGCTTGTAGTGTGGTGCACGTTTGGCTTTCCACACGACGCGGGGGCTTGGACTTGTCATGGAAGGCGCGTGGACGTGAGCTGTGGGGGACTTCCCATGTTCGCACATTTGCGCACGGTGCAACGTGAGGTTGAACGCTTAGTGCCTTAGCAAGCCTAGTGACTGAGTGAAGGTGTGCCGCCGTGCCAGGGCTGTTTTTGTCGAGGTGCTTTGTGAATTGCATTGGGTGGGCTGTGTGATGTGCGTTCGGCTGCGTTCCCCGTGCGCGATTTGGGAGGACAGAAACGAAACGAAACACTTCAAGATGACCGCTTGGGCCAGTCGTTCGCTTGGCCCCGTGCCGTGCATTGGACACCTCGATTGCTGTGAATTGCGTAATTCGTGTACATTGAGGTTAAGCTTCCGTGACCTCCCACAGTGATTGTTGTCAAAAGACCATCAAGGAGGAAGGAGACAAAATTAAGATGAATCCTCCCATATTGGCCCCCAAAAGTCTCACTGTTTGTTTGGAAATGCCAGCAGGTCCTTTAGTGGGGTTGGTCTATGGGTTTGTTCAACTCCAACATGTTGTTTAATTTGCTATCCTGACATACAATGGGCCCATGGGCCTGCCTTCAAACATGAAATAAACATGAATACATGAATTGTTTTGTTCACTTGATCGAACCCTGTCTGACTGCGAGTCAGCTGAAGGGCAGTCAGCTGAGGCGTGCCCCCGCTCCGTGGTGGACACCCTGGCGCCTTTGTTTGTGGCGAAACTCCTTCAGCGTGCCTTTCTGCAGCCCGTGCTTTGGCCGGTGCAACACTCGAAGAGGCGAATGGTTTGAGGTCCACCTATTAACTCGGACACTAATCGATTTGTAGTTTCCGCGTTTTCGGATGTTTTAAGCCCCCGCCAAGCACTCGTGGCTGTGGTGTGGGCCGGTGAAAGTCTTGTTGGCCGTTGGCGGACGACCACGAGATGCTTCGGCGATTCTTTGTCCCACCAGCGGTGGCGATCGGGGGGCGCGCTTGCGATCGAGAGTGGATGTCCATTCAGCGCCCAGGTCATCACTTTGTTGCTTTGGAAATGGTCGAAGGAGGTGAATGGCGAACTTCATGTATTTCCTTTGGCATGCCTAGGCGCCTACTCTAATGCCGGTTCGGATGTTTGCTTTGTCGTTTTGGTGCAGGGCGTCGGGAATGCGATTGCATGTTTTGAAGAATGCCCTTTGCGTGTTACTGAATTTGATAGTTCCTACAATGGAAGGGCAGCGTGGTGGGGAAAGAACCCAACCATTAATGATCTTACACAGTGTGATCTTTACGCATGTTTCAGAATGTCATCAACTCATGATAATTCTTCGCAAACATGGCCGAGCACGGCCCCTTTTTTCGGGTGTTTTTCAGAGACCGCCCTCGGATAGAAGAGCAAACCGTGGTAATGGCATTTTTTTGCAGATCACCAGCCAAGTCTTCCTTTGATGTCTTGTGATGTTCGCATGGCGGATGGTAGGCCACATCAGTGCATTTATTCCAGAACGTCCGGGAACCAAATCAAGGAAAAAAGAACAGACGCAATGAACCCACGACCTGTGACAATGAGATTCTGGCTACAACTTGGGATGTGAAGGAACTAATGAGTTAAAAAATGCATGCATGGTTTCCGAATGTGTCCTATGTTGTCAATGTTGTTATTAATTGTGTGTTCTCGGATGTTTTTGACACCGAGGAGAGTGTAAAAACCTCTATCCAAGACTATTTTTGCATTTTTTTGCATGTTTGTTTTTGCCAGAATAATGCAAACTGAATGATGACCCTGCACCAGCCTGCGCTTGGATAATCATTGACGATACGTCTCACCATGCCTCACCAATTGCTTAAAATACGTTTGTACCCCCACCAAAAACAGCCAGGAGTATTGTGTTGCAACCTCTTTGTTTGTGCGTAGAAATCAATGTTTGCACCAGGCACAAAACGATAAACAGCATAGCGCTGCGAGCTTAAATACCTCCGTGTGGACAATGGCAAACGCATGAAGATGTAGCACTAGCTGTCCTAGTCTGGAATGAGTTGCGCCGTGGGTTCATGATATCCAGTTCCACACAGTGCGTACCAATGTCCACTGCAAATGTTGCACAGCTGCTTAAAGCACACTTGAACATGATATAGACAAATTGGACGACAGGGTTCCAATTGCTACAGGACAGGCTACTGTAGAACCCATTTTGTAGACAACCCCACATGTGGTTGTTCATTGTTTCACTTTGTTCATGCTGAAGACCGCACTCAGTTGAACACTTTCATTCCTTGAAGACTGCACTTGAGACCCCTGCTAAGCTGTCGGAGGCTTGAAGCGCTGGAAGCTGGTCGCAAGCCGAAGCTTGGATCGAGCGCAGCAAGCGTCGTTCCTGGTGACGCTGGCAGAAGTCATGATCATTTGGAGCCCTTTGGTGCCGTGGCCTGGCAGCAGTGGAGCTACTAGGAGCAAGGACGCTACTAGGTGCTCCTGGCCTCACTACTATAGTAACAAGAAGCTACTAGGGGCTCCTGGCATCGCTACTAGGAGCGTTCGGACGCTACTAGCAGCAGTGGAGCATCAACCTACGATCCCGAGACCTGTGGAAGGTCTAGGAGCTAGGAGCGAAATTCATCCGATGAATTGGGCGAAACCTGCAGGTTGAGCAGGGTTTTGCCCCTTATAGTATGACTCCCTGGAACACTTGGACTGCAGCAGCTAGGTGAAGTGTCCGTTGTTTTTCAATCATGCGGCCTCAAAGAGTGATGCCAAGGCGCGGATCAGTGACCTGCCTACTAAGCTGATGCCAAGGCTTGAGTTTCTACATGTTTTTACTCACACGGGGCTGAACCAAAAGTGTTCACCTCGATCAATCTTAAACCAGTAATAAATGCCCAAAGAGGAGCAGAACATCTTGACGGGATTGCAAGCGTGCATGAGTCCGTCTTCCTTTTCAGACCCAAACATGACCAAATTTCTGGTGCACAACTGCGGGTTTTACAATTGAGGCGCATTTTTTTCGGGTGGGAACTGCCTGGGTAGCGATTGGCAGCATTTGAGGGTCGAACAGTCCACGACGGTGACCATATATCGTTGGGCTTCAATTCGTTTGCTTGCAACAATTGAAAAAGCTGAACTCACTGCTGGTTTTTTACTGCCCAAATCCATCCCAACCTCGAACTGCTGTGGATGTTTGAATTGTAAACCATCATAATTCAATGATGATTTCTTGGCAGATGTTGTTTGTTTTTCCTGCCCTTTGCCTTTACTTTAAAGCTGTTGCAAACCTTAGGCTCCTACTTCCAGTGGCATGCTTGGCCGCGATGACCAACCTCCTCTCATTTCGCATTG